CTCACACACACATTTCTAAAAAATGAAAGCAGAAACGCAGCCGGCACCACCGCGCTCTACTTCACGCGGAATCTGTGTTTTTCTTTCAGTTGGTGTGCACATGAAAAGCGTGTGTACAGGGGCCAGCGAGGGCAAAGTTTAGGGTCACGTCTCAGTGATAAACAGGCCTGTTCAGAGCGGCCTGAATGCTGTCCGCTTCCTCTGCAAACACACGCTCACACAACATGCTTCTCACCGGGCTTACAATGTTACAAATAACATTACAGGTTACGCTTCAGATCTGACTCACAAAATACGAGTAAAAAAACGTATATATTGGGGGAGGATCCGTACAGATCAACCGCGGTCCGCTACTGCTATATATTATTATTTTTAAACACACCTGAGGGACTCGCAAGCAGAAGACAAGAAGAACAAAGTCATCAAGTTACATCTTCCGGGGATCATCAAGACTGGTAACAATCCAAGTAGTAAAGTTGAAATAAATCAAGGCTTTGGCGCTTAAGATTAAAAAAAACAACTATTTGCTAACAGCTAACAGAAACATGCCCATACATCACGCTTATGAAGAGCAATCAGGTCCTGACAAAACGCTCCAGCTTTTGCTTCATGGTTGCTCTAAAAACTGGAAATGACTCATCACCATAAGTTGTTTCCAGTTTTCTTTTTTTCAGTCTTAAATACTCCAACTACTCTACACACTTCTATTAGTGTCCTCGGACATCAAGGCAAGCTCCTGATTATGTCCCGTCACCGCATCCATGCACAATAGTTCAACACCTCCATCGAAAATCTCTGCGTGCATCGACTCATCCATCCAAGAGATTGACATTATTCACCGGAGCACGACATGCCATCCTATATTAAATTAGGAGAGCACGAGGGAGAGATACAGGTCATGTCTCAAGTCTTGGTGCTGAATAGCTAAGCTAGCTCCTACAACACGCTGCGATGTTCATACGCAACCATCCCATCGATAGAAGGGGCCAGCCAGTGTGACAGGGGAGCCTACATGACCCCTCTGGACAACGCTGGTCCGTATCTGCCACTATTCCGACCCTCAGTTAAACACATCACTGTGAGACTTTCACAGGCAGGTTTGCAGGTGTCCTCGAGGACAGGGTGGAGGGGGTGGTGTGTGCGTCTGAGAGGAGGGGGGGTTCAAAACAAACAGGAATGGAAACGTACTCCAGCAGTGGAAGGCTGTGACAGTGGCAGCAAAGCTGCAGCAGTGCCGAGTGCTAAAATGGCTGCTCATTCTCATACAGATACACAGCGTAGCGAGGTAGGAGCGCTCCCACTCCAAACTGTTTGCCCTCATCCCCGTGTGTGGGGCTAGTAGAAGGGAATCCCTATTGCCTGCACAAAAAAAAAAAAAGAGTATTAGCCACTTGGATTCGACACTAATCATCAAGCAGCAACAACATCCAACGGCCTCATCTGCCTCCACGTCCTCATTAGTATGCACAGACACTCTCTTTTTAGTGGAGAGAAGAAGGAAACCAAGGAGGAACGAGATCTGGCTAACGGTCCACATCTGTTCTTCTTATCACATTTAAATTTGGGGTGTAGATGAAGTTGATCCGCCATTGATTGCTATGCGTTTGCTGCATCGTCTGATCCGAAATACGAGAATTTTGATAATTTTTTACTTCATTACTATAATGGTCTTGTTCTGTTGTTTACGTTTAAGGTTGTATTAAGAGAGCCAGCAGGAGTGGCAAACTTTAAACCAAATAAGTGAGGCCCACACTGAACTCTATATCCGGGCCCTTATCTGGGCTCCATCTCACCCTAAAGAGGCCCCGCTAGAACGCACGGACCTCCAACATGGAAAATAAGCGTGCAGGACCGACACTCCACAAACTATCATCTACCATCAGGCAAAACGAAGCAGTCAGTTGCAACATAATTTAATATAAATGTATAATAAAAGAAAATATGATTCACAGGACTACACAAAACAAACCTTTATATTAAGAACACTGTGTGGTCATTTTTCCACTGTTTGAGATAGCTGTAATGTCTGATTATTCACCCACCATACATTTTCTAAAGCAGAGATTTGCCTAGCTCAGTGTTTTTCAACCTTTTTTGCGTCAAGGCACACTTGAGACACATAAAAAAATCTCACGGCACACCAACAACCGGAAATTATATGAAAATCAATCCCAAACATAGTTTCAGCATGAGCATAATATACTCTAAGAAATCAGGGAAACGCGTGTTCTATTTGTTGTGTTTTATTAAACTTAACGTCATCCTAAATGCCAAGATGCCACAGGCTTTATGCCCAGGTATCTCTTAAGCCTAGTTTATGCTTCTGTGTTTTCAGAGCGACGCAGACGCAAGACCCCCTTGCGTGTCCCTTGCGTCGCTTTTCACACCTCCTTGCGTCCTTGCGTGTGTCGAACCATTTTTCTAGGCTTACGTCAGCAACGCAAGCCTCCCGCAGCGCACCAGGCTGTGATTGGTCTGCTAACTATGTCCTTTACGGAGTCTCACATTTCCGCTTTCATAGCCCGATACCGCCATTATTAAAACGAAGAATGTTTACGAGAGAACGGATCAGATTTAAGAACTTTTGTCGTAGGAAATGCGCAAATATGACCGCTTATACAAGCAGTCATTGGCGGGTTGTAGAAGCGGGTTGGATTCACGGAGGGAGATCGCCGCAAACGCCGGTTTGCCGGTCGAGAGGTGCACAAAGTTGTGGAGGAAAATACGGGACAAATATGTCCGCGATGAAAAGCAACAGTGGCGATGCACGGGGCAAAAAAGTCTATGATAAATAAATAAACAAATAAATAAATAGACGTGACTCTCTAGGTCGTCTTCAACAAAAACACGTCACTCCGCCTTTTGTTCTGGCGGTGCTCTGCAACACACGCAAGACTTTTAGAAGCATGAATTGAAACGAGTGCGTCGACGCAACGACGCAGACGCAAACGCAGAAGCATTTTTTAAATTGTCACCTCAGCAAATCTGCCTATTAATTATGCTGCGTACCGCCACCCATAGGCAGAGGGGAGTATTGAGCCTTCATACCACCAACAGCGCGACGACACACACACACAGGCTCTTTTTTTTTTCACCAATGAAGTGACAGTATGTAAAAAAATATTTTTTTTCACGGCACACCTGACAGCCTCGCGCGGCACACTGGTTGAAAAAGACTGCCCTAGCTTATATAAATAAATAAATAAATAAATAAATATATATATATATATATATATATATATATATATATATATATATATAAATAAAATAAAATATAATAGATATATAAAAATAAATAAAATAAATAACTGACCTCACCTCTCATAACCTGAAATAGCTTTGAGTTGTTGTTGCTGCAGTTGCTTTGCATCACAATTCTGAACGCAGCCAATAGAAAGCCTAAAAGAAAGCGTTAACATGTTGAAATGGATTATACTCAAATACATTTTCCTTTGTATTGTAAACAAAACATATTTATGTTGTTTCAGTCTGATTACAAGATTTTTGTCCAAATGTTGGAGGCAGAACTTTTGTAGCACACAATCATAATCAGCAATGGCAAGTATGTTACAAGGAATTGGTCCGTGACAATAAACGTGCAATAGCAAAAGACATCAATTTAAAATGGAAAATATGAAAATTTGGAACATGGTAAACAAACAAACACAGATTACGCCATAAGTCCAGACTTCACCCAAAACTTCTCTGGTTTGTGTTTCATCGGTATTAACACACAAAAGCCAGATCACAGATGCTCTAAGCGCCTTATTATCAAACAGTTTCCTTTTCTACCCCGCCAAAATCATACCAACACAGCACGTCACATCCCTCCTCTAGGGAGGGAAAATGTGTATCCTTACGGGGGATCTATTTGCAGAAAAGGAATGCAATATTCATAGCTATGTTTTCTTTATAAAAACCTGAGACTAACAAAGCCTTGTGTTTTCTTTAGCTTAGAACGAGCCTCTTCGCAGAGTCCGCTGTGACACGGCGTGGCCCCGGATCACTGGCCCCAGCTTCACCTGAAGGTCGACGAAATACTCCGAAATACTCTGTGATACTGGCGGTATACGGTCCTGTAGAGAAGCAGCCATGTTGCACCGATAAATGCCACCAAATGCTAGATACCGTGCCGCAAAGGTCTTTCTTATTATATGACACGGTTCATTGATCTTAACCTTCATTAATATGTAAATGAACCAAAAATATTATGATTACATATATATTTAAGCTTGGTTGAAGCTGTTTGCAACTAATAATTGGTGCCGTTGTTTAAAGAAATAAAAACTTTTGTCATCAGAATTCAGTGGCGGCTAGCCAATAAAGGGGCGTCGCCCCACTTGGGGGCACCTCCTTAAGGCCAAAAAAGAGATAATTTAATTTATAAATGTTGTCAATATTTGTGATTTGGGAAATATAGAATGTACCAAGTAATATTTGTAAAATATATCAGCCTGTCAAGGCGCTAGGGGCGAGCTAAAGATTGCCCACAGAAGGGTCGAAGAAGCACTTTAGCAAATTGCTGAATAATAATAAAGAATAATAAAGCTGTCAATTTGAAAGCGGCTGGGGAGGATTTACCAATAAAGAGAATAGGACTTTCGGATGGGAGGTAAATATGTGAGTTCTCCCCTTTATTCTAAGAATATCCTCATCTCTCCACGCGTCACGGCTCTACATAGAAATATATTTTTCCACAACACACGCGCTTTGTGCCTCAAAATAACCTGCACTTGTGCGGTTTACCGTCGCGGGGTCAACCGGACCGAGCTGAGACGACACCTCGGGGCCGATCTTACATAAGCAACAGCCCGGCGTGTTTTCCTCTCGGGTGGGGTACGTCCTGGCGAGCACCGCCCGCGTCACGGGTGCAGTTAAAAGGAGATGTTGTTGGTGCACAAAACAAACAACAAGGAGTCAGGGTGTTTTCAGAGACCACACAAGGAGTGTGAGGATGACACGGAGTCGTTGCGTGTAATCAGCTGTGATGCTGTACTCACCCGTGTTGTCGTCCGCTTGCGAATAAAGGTCCTGCCCACGAGGTCCCGCTGTCAATTGTCACTTTGGATGATTAATTCCCAGGCAGTTGGCTAACTTTAGCATACCCGCGTACTCGCGTCAGATGTCTATAGTTTTGTTATTGTTTTTTTATCCACTGTTACTTGGGGTTCACAATGTTGTGGTGGGCCGTGGCGATCATGTTGCAAACTCTAGAGCAGATTAGCTTGGCGACCGGGGGAGAAAAGTCGCGTGTTCGCTGGCTCGCTATCAATGTAACGTCAGCTTGTGTTGACAAACAAGCCTGCGTCGCTGAAATCAAACACACGGCTTGAAGCTAGCTAACGCCAGCCTGCAGGCACGGATAGCTTAGCAAGCTAACCAGCTCGATAAACCCAAACCTTATTTCGAAAAGGCTTTTTTTCCCACTGCGTACGACTCGTATCTCCTCGGTGGCGGACGTACCGTGAGCCGCTCGCTTCTGGGTGGTATCCGCGTTTCAGTGACGGCGCACTCGTGTTAGCTAACCCAAGTTACGGCTTCGGTCTCTGCTCTCCGCCATTTCCAATCTCTCAACACAAACAAACAGCGCTGCTCGTGCCCACGAGACGTCAATGCGCGTTCACGCCGATGGCATCGGACCGAAGCTTTGGCCGCGTTGACGGATTTAAGACCCGATCGGGACTGTCAGCGACCCGTTTGCGTCGATACCACACGGGAACTATGTTCGCGTGTTGAAGACGTGACGGAGGTCCAGTTGACTCGTGCGCGTGTGGAGCGACGCACTGTTCAAACCCCACGGGCCTCCTGTAGCTGTGCGTACGCGCGCGCGCATGCGTGTGTCGGCGCACTGTGCAGAATCCATAGTGTCTGGTACACGGTGATGCATTCAGGAGCTGCATGATTTATGAGCGCACGCGGTGTTTATGAGCACCATTAGGTGGCCACGAGCCACCGTTTCACGGAGAAAACGACACCATTAGTTCAGTCTGAATGCAGAGCAGACACTCGTTCCAGTCCGGAGGAATCTAGAGCAACCTGTTTGTTGAGTTCAAATCTGTGATGTTTTAAAGCCTGTTAATTATTATTTTTAGTGTTTTGTGCGCCACTATTTGTTTAGTGTTGAGTGCATGTGACTTTAAGAGCGTATTTCAATATCTTGATGTGGGAAATATAAGAGCAATATATCCTTTTTCTGATAATTGAACGTGTACGTATTTTTTCTGTAAATAACTATAGAATCAGGCACTAATAACAAAGAACATAGACATTAAATAAAAGCACATCCAATTATTTTCCCCCTTTAAGCTCAAGCGATGTCACTGGATCCCAGAAGGTGAACTGATTTTGCAGCTTCCTCTGGTGGTCAATACAGCAGGCATGGAGGAATTTACTGTTTAAATGGAGACTTTAAACAGCACATTTTCTACTGTTCATTGCAGCTGGAAACGTGACATCTATAGTCTGATACATTGGAGAAGGGGTAGCATGAGTGTAGGCCAGTCTTTGGGAGGCATTCTGGGAATTACACAGAAGTAATTACTGTGTGTTAACTGTTCACTTACATTCCTTCTGAGAAGTCGTACTTCAACGTTGAAGGTTATGACTCATGGACAGCCATTTGGATCTATGATTTTTGTTTGTTTGTTTTGGCTTTATTTTTATTTTTCTGTCAAATGCAATAATTGCCATAATTAAAACCCTTTGTTAAAGCATGCCGGAGACGGGTGGTGTCGTAACTCATTGAAAGGTGTCCGCTGAGATTTACTATGTGACGGCTGCTGGCTCATCCACAATACGACAATAACCCCCCAATTCATTTGCTACTACTTTAATCACATTTGGCCTCATTCCCAGATGTGTTGGGAATGAAGACCTCACAGCCGAGGTAACAAGGAAACAGACTACAAACAATACCCAGTGTCGTCTGAGCGAAACAATGAGAAACTCAGCTACAAAACATTTAAGGAAGAAGTTCAATTAGCGATTAGGAAATACTTTCCATAAACCCAGTCAGCCATCACAGAGTGAAGTCTGTGAAGGGAGAGCAGCAATAGTGGGAATAAATCCTGCTGATAAAACTGCACTCAACTAAAAAGCGCTCGTTGGAAAGCCCACGGCACATTTGTTATTTATGCAGTTATTCATGCGAAATGTGATGCTCGTGTCAAACCGAGCAGCAGAGGGGCGATTTGACCTAACTGGCCTTTCCGGTTTGTTGGTATTTTGAACAAGTCGCTCCTGTGTGCAGCTCAGATGACTAAAGAAACTTTTTTATGTTTCACTCGGTTTCTCCACATTCGACGATACACGCAGACTCACGAGGGGAAATCAATAGGCCCCAATCACAGCAGCCATTTTGGCATAGCTGGTTAAAACACAGGTATAAATAAAATGAATTATTAGTGTGTCAGTCATTCTAGTGAGCCAGCATGCGTGATAGACCATGATTAATGTTATTAATCACACTTGTGTTCGATCTCATTTAAGTTTTTGTATAAAAGCATCTGGCCCACCGATTCATACAAGGTGGATTTTTCTTGCTAAAGTAAAGGCCTTATCGTTCACAAAAAATGGACCATGACGTGGGAACTTCCTTCTGTAAATGTTGTATTGACGGTTTACGAACAAGGACCTTTGCACAGGGCAGCATGTTTATTTAGTTATAAGATACCAATGATTAAATTCATAAGCTTCATTCTTTTATGTACGGCAACATTATTCAACTTTGTAAAACCCAATCCAACCAATAAATACATAGAGAAATTCACAAAATTGGTAATTATTCAAAAATAAATAATGGCAACCCACAAAATGAACCAGAATTAAAATTCAAATCGGCAGCCCTTTTGGTGTACAAAAGGATTTCAAATTTAAGTAATCTATATGGTAAATAAACATAGAATTAAACACAGAATTGAATAGAGTAGATCCATTATCGGCAAATTGGTTTTAACAGAGGCAGACAAATAAAAGGATTTCGACAACAAAAAGTGATTGACGGGCAAGTGGTTAGAACCTTATTGTGCCTTTCTCTTAAAGGCAATCGTTTCTGCTTCCAAACCCGTCAATCGCTGAATTAATGTCGGCTAAAGGTCACACTTCATTAGTAGCTGGCTGTTTTTTTTCCTTTTCATCATTAACAGATTAACTGCGCCTACCGCAAGAACAGGAGTACGGAGGATGCCATCTCCACGGCATTACACTCCGCCCTTTCTCACCTGGACAATAACAACAGCTATGTGAGGATGCTGTTCATAGACTTCAGTTCAGCTTTCAACACTGTCATCCCCTCCAAACTAATCACGAAACTCAACACTTCCCTCTGTAACTGGATACTGGACTTCCTATCCAACAGACCCCAGTCTGTTAGGGTAGAGAACCACACCTCCTCAACCCTCATCCTGAACACCGGCGTGCCACAGGGCTGTGTGCTAAGTCCTCTCCTCTATTCCCTCTTCACCTACGACTGCACACCTGTACATGGTTCTAATACCATTGTCAAGTTTGCAGACGACACAACGGTGAGTCGGCCTACAGAGAAGAGGTCCAGCACCTGGCGGTGTGGTGCGCCGACAAGAACCTGGCTCTCAACACCAAGAAGACCAAAGAGCTAATTGTGGACTTCAGGAAGAAAGCTGGCACACACATCCCCATCCATATCAACGGGATGGAGGTTGAGCGTGTTGCCAGCTTCAAGTTCCTGGGTGTCCACATCTCTGAGGACCTCTCTTGGACCCTCAACACCTGATCCCTGGTAAAAAAAGCACACCAGCGTCTCTTCTTCCTGAAGAGACTGAAGAAGGCCCATCTGTCTCCTCAGATTCTAGAGAATTTCTACCGCTGTACCATAGAGAGTATTCTTACAAACTGCATCTCAGTATGGTATGGCAGCTGCTCTGTCGCGGACCGTAAATCACTGCAGAGGGTGGTGAAAACTGCCCAACGCATCCTCACTCCCCACCATTGAGGCTGTTCAAAGCAAGAGATGTCTGCGGAGGGCACGCAGCATCGAAAAGGACAGCTCTCACCCCAGCCACAGACTGTTTGCCCTCCTCCCCTCTGGGAGGCGTTACAGGGTGCTCCATTCCCGGACCAGCAGTGCAGGAACAGCTTCATCCCTGCGGCTGTCATTCTACTGAACTCTGCCCCCCACCCCGACACACACCTCCCTCAGTGACTGTACTTCCCCGCTCCACCCTGGCTTGACTGCCACACACCCTCCTCCAGCCACTGAACATTTGCACCAGAATGTTTTTTTCTACCACTTATTACTGATCGTACTTATACCTACAATACCTCTTAAATATAATATTACTAATACCTCGTTCACTTCATCTCACTTATTACCACCACTAATACTTACACCTGCACTTTACATATACTTATCATACCTACACTTCTTACCTCAATTGCTGCTATTCTTGTCCCAATTACTGTTCATATTGCATATCTATTTCTTACTGTACATATCTATTTATTCACTTATTACACTTTACATATGCACATACTCTAACACTTTTTGCTATTTTGCACTTCTGGTTGGATGCTAAACTGCATTTTGTTGCCTCAGTACACCTCTGTGCAATGACAATAAAGTTAAATCTAATCTAATCTAAAAACTACTTTCCAGACGGGGGAAATGAAGAGTGTAGTTACTCCGTTGTTCACACAGGCAGACGATGATGGGGCCGAACGTCATTTAAAAAACCCTTTATTACCCTTTGAAGACACACTCATGAATCTTATTCTAATAATAATTTTGACACAAACATCCAGGCAAAAAGCTTGAGATTCCATTTCACAGGCGGAACAAATCGGCACTGAATGTATTCCAGAGAGTTCATGACCTAGATTACAGACTTGATGCTTAGTAAGTTTGTCCTTGTAATTTTAACGCAAAGTCGCACACTGTAATACAGCGCATTATGAATATGTAACACTGTGTATAAACATGAAGCCGTACTCTGTAACAGAGCTACCCATTTGAGAATATCCTGTTACAACAGCAATAGAATATTCCTAACAGAATTGTTCCTGTGTGGTACTCCAGATGGATGATCTGTGCAGGTTCATTGTATGAAAACTAGTAAGGGGGTAAAACTATAATGCTGTTAAAAGTATGCTGAGAATGTGAGCAATTATTTGACCGAAAAACCCTTCACAGATTTACCGCAAACCCTCGAAGAGAGCAATACCATTTTTTGTAGCTGTAAGTAAAATGCATTCTTGCTGCATTATTGATATGTTTACATAGTTGTCTTTATGCAACATCGACGGTATGTATTACTTATCAATTGCCTCATTAACATGATTGCAAAACAAATGCTGTGTGCTTTTTTGCCGCTTAGTGGTGGAGAAAACAACTTAATATTTTCCGACTTTAATCTTTGACACAACAGTCCAATCTTGGACACAACAGGTGTTTGGATTCACTGAGATGGAGATCTTTAAAAGGTGAAATGATATTACGGACATGCACTGTAATGCACAGCTGGCTGATCTTTTTTGGTCCAAGGCATTCATTTGAAGAGTTTGAACTTGCGCAGCAGCGGCTGGACTGTCTCTTTCTGACATGGCTTCAGAGCCAAGCAGGTGGGGATGTTCTCCGGTTGTTCGATCCACAGCTTATGGGCCACCCCGGCCTGTGTAAGATTCTCTGATAACCCGGAAAGGGCAGCCTCGTCTGGAGCCTGGAAGGAAATCCATTACAGATGTGGACAGTAAGCCAGGCTACTAAATATACAGGAACATTCATAGAATGACCACAAACTGCCATTACTTCACAACTAATTACAGTGCTCCATGTGAGGGAATACGTTGATATAAAACAGTAAGTCTACTTATATTTGTTCATTCCTGTATATATAGACTAGTTGAATTATTAGAATTCTACTATGTACTATTTGGCAGGGAGGGTTTCATCTTATAATAGATTACATTAGAGTTTCATTAGATTTATATTGACAATACATATACAATATCATTATCTATTATTTGGTTTCTCTAAAAACGGTTAGATAAGTTAATTGAATCTTCAATGAAGCGATACCATACTCCATTATAAATGCCATCGTTTAGATTGATTTCATCGTTAGGACACATATATAAAAGCAAGAGGGCAATTCCATCTTTTATGAAATATATTCTCAAGGAGTTTTAATTCGGCTCTCATTTCATAGTTCAGACAGAACTTTGCGAGCTTTTTGCTTTAACGTTACGTGTGGTTCTATAAATGACATCGCTCACCTTAAACCACGTTAGCAACAGCGTGAACGACATTAAGTCGGTTTTAGAACTCACAAAGTCGATCAATACGACCAAACCAGAACAGGTATCACGTGTTGTCAATGTCACACACGTTGTAATAAACTATTCAACCATCGTGCAAAGTAAAGCGAGGGATATTTGTAGGGAGTGTGGCGCTCACCCCCAGCACCACTTTGTGCATGGCGTCCAGCTCGGCGAGGTACCGCTGTGTGTCCGGGTCCCCGTAGTGCAGGTGGATGGCAGCCGTAGCGGCGTGACACGCCTGAGTTATCACGGCTCCCAGGGGCCAGGACAGCTTGTGGACCAGATCCGACCGGACGACAACATACTGGACCAGCCGGCCAGGAGACCCGGCTCCTGTTACTGCTGCCATCTTCCAGCCCGAACAGGAAGCCAACCCAGGTCCGGGTTTGTTTATCTTCCTGTTCAGCCAATGTCGTTTATTGTTAAATCATATTGACACGTTCCTGCCCTCTGCTGGTGATTTCAATAAATCAACAAATCGTTGTCTCTTAAAGCCGAGCATAAGATCATTTTAATAAATGGATGATATATATTATGTTTAGAAAATCGTCCTTCCTTTATGTCCTCTCCCACGTTAAAATACAAACATATAGATACAATTACTTCATAATTCCTAATACTTTACTTTAATTAGATTTACATTATTTAATATAATTACGAAAAGGGGGTTCAGTGTACTGATTGTATTACAGTATTACAAAGCGACAGCAGTTATCTCTTTTTAAAATATATTTTAATACATTTCCGGAAGAAGTGTGGAAGTTCACTGCTGGCAAAACTAGGGCTGCAACAACAAACCGTTGAAATCGCTAAAATTCGATTATTAAAAGCGTTGGCAACGGATTTTATTATCGATTTGTTGTGTCGCGCGATTATTACGCCACCCAATGAGTTGCGGCTTGGTAACGTCCCAGACATTGTTTTCCAACCTTTTTTAGTTGCATTAAATACTTTAGTTTTCACGTTATTGGGTCTGAAAGTCGCTGGACATTCCCATTGGTTTCCCAAAACTCACTGACCTCCCCGTACGTCACTGATATACAGCACTGGGGTCGACGTGGCGCAGGGCTAGAGAGGGTGCGCCACAAATGCAATGTAAGTCGCTTTGGATAAAAGCGTCACCTAAATGACCTCTAATGTAATGTAACATAAAATATGTTTTTTCCTCCTTTATGTTTTTTATTAATGAACCTTAAGTATGCAGGGTATACTATTTTTCTGGTTATTTTGAGGTCGTTTTTTTTTTTATGTCCCTGGCTTGGTAACATGCCATTTTAAATTCATCTCATAGCACTTGGTTGTTTTTAGCTGTACTTAGATGGGGTGTATACATTTACTTAACTTGCTCTACAATGATGGTAATAAGTTAAAGAATAAGCTTGTGAACATGGGGGTGTGTTTGTAAGTGAGAGTTTGTGAGTGTAGTATAGAGAACAAGACGTTAAAACAAATCCTTTATTTTTTATAAATTACTATGTACAAGGAGCAACCTGTACTTTCTGAAGTATTTTTGCAATGTGAATTTGCAGTTCTGTTTTACAATAAAGGGTTGTAAATTAAAGGTTTTTAATGCTGTTTTTTTTTTTGATTCATCGATTAATCAAAGAAATAATCGGCTGATTAATCGATTATCAAACTAATCGTTAATTGTTAAGCTGCAAGTTAATATTCAAGAGCACCCAGATCTACAAGTGTAAATACAGTAAATACAAAACATTACATTTGACATGATGTTTGTAATGTGCCACTGTTGGGTAAACATCAGAGCTTCGGTGTTGAAGCTTTGCCCTCATGTTCGTAAGTCTCTTGCTGAGAGCGCAGTCCAGTTAATCAATGCTGTTAGACCAAATTCCCCAACAGCCTGCCTCTTCTTAGTGTTTCATCAGCCTTGTTCTATAAAAATAAAATGCTTTGATAGTTGCTCTCATATTCACACATATTCTGAGAAAAAAGTATTTTTGGCATTTGTGATCTTCCATAATCTGGCATCCCCTAAAATCCTGAGAAAGTAAACCCCAGATTCATCCAAAAAAATGACAACTGTACACAAGTAAATGTCACAATAATTTATTAAGCATACACATTATAATATAAATATAAAATATGCTATTTTTGTTTTTAAAATTGGTGAGACATCATTATATCTGTGTTGAGACAGACGACCATACAAACAGGTTTTAATATTCTACCAAAATCTGCTATGCAGCTGTAACAAACTTGCCACGATGGTGCCGTCCTAAAATCAGAGCCTGTATTCACAGAGCATATCAGAGAAGTGTAACTGATCTAGGATCAGGTTCCATGTAAAACTTCACCATAAATGAGGAGGCAAGCTGGTCTTAGATCAGCACTCCTAGTCTAAGATGCTGGATGCAGTGGCCCACATACAGAGAGAGAGAGAGAGAGAGAGAGAGAGAGAGAGAGAGAGAGAGAGAGAGAGAGAGAGGGAGAGAGAGAGCACAATAACCTACCGTATATTTCTTTATATAGATATATTTCTTACCGTAGTCCAACAATGGCAATTAGCAGCATGAAAATGCATCACTCGTTTTTTTTCCTACTTTTAAATCAACCGCAAAAATTAGTTAGGAAGTAAAAGAAATAAAAGAAACATCGAACATACTGATGATCATTTGTCACTGTACTAAGAGAAACTCGTCCAAAGTGAAACAATCAGAGACAATCAAACAATCAAATCAGATCAGAGTGATGGCGTTTGACGGTCCGGATCCGGGTTCAATTCAGCTTCACCTCAGTCAACTGCAGGAAGCTGATGATCTGGACCTTTTCTCCACATGAACGCCAGCCAGTTCTCAATGAAAAGCCATTCTCAAACCATGACTTATAGCTTCAGCTGACTGAACCCAAAGTGAATTGATTCCCCCCCAAAAACTCAATGGCAATAAAGAACAAATAGTTAACATTTTTTTTCTTTTTTTGTCTTGGTCTTTTTTCTTTTTCTTTAAGTTTGGTTGACATGCTGAATCATTATGTTTGCAGGTTTGTGGTCAATCAAAAGGAAAAGTACTGAGCGAACCACTCCTGGCGCTGGGCGTCCGGGGAGTCGATGGCGGCGTCCTTCGTTTCAGGAGGGCTTCACAACGAGGATGGCAAAAAGAATAAATCACGTCAGCAAAAATAAAAACAGGAAAAAAACAAGTCAAGCAGGAAGACAGTGGCTGATTCAGTATAAACTTACACCACACTGACAGGGAGCAGCAGTGTCACATTGCCAGTTCCAAGTAAACCTCTGTCATTTAAGACAGTCCATTGTTTTACTATTACTGGCTACAGTCTTTTACTAGGCCTCATCTTTCTTTGTTGAAAGTGTCCTTTTCTTTTCCTTGAATGCATGTGAATGGAACATATACTTGACTTAAAACCTTGCTGTTTTAATTCAGCCTGGCACACGTGTCAATGCAATATGAATACAACTGTCAGATAACACTGATCTAGAAGCTTAAGGGTTGTTTTAAATCAATGTGTCGTCTACTTTCCCCACTGTCCACAAGGGGGCTATCTATTTTACATAGGATCTATTGAGCCACATTATTTGGTCCAATTCTATACTACATATCAATTGAATAGTTGATGCACTAGTGTAACTACTTTTTGGGAGGTAAACAGTTTTTCAAAACATTTTTTCGTAATAATGTTTAGATATGGACTGGACAAAAAAGCATTGTTCGTGTCTCACTTTGGGCTCTGGGTAGTTGAGCCCACGTCTTTTACTATTTTATGATTATACACAAAGCAAAGAATGTAATAAAATAATCATTAGTGAATAGTTTCACCACAACCAATTACAACAGCAAGATCCTGCTTTATCATTAATGCATTTGTATAATATATTCAAAGCATGACAGTCACAGGGAACTTTTTACACTTTTCATTCAATTGAATGAGAAACTTTTGAATGGTACTGTAGTATATATTACTAACGCACGTTAGTAATATATACTACTGAAGTAGGGTATTGGCCCTTTTAGTTCAGGAAAGGATCTGAATACTTCCTCAACCCCATTAAGCCATAGACCTGGGGGAGGGCAGTAGGAGGGGGGCGGGGGGGGGGACATGTTGTTCAAACAAATTAGAGTGTTTGCATCTTCCAGAGCAAACACCTATTGCAGCTCCTTCTGCTTTCTTAATTGGCTTCTTGTTAAACAAACAGTCCCATAACCTCAGGGTGATATTTACATTTTTGGAGAGGGTGTCATTTGTTTTTGTTGTTGTTTTTTAAGCTAACCAAAAGGCCTCCCTTGTGTTTGTGCAGAATGATAAATCATCATGTTTATACTGTGCAGTCTGACTCAAAGGATTTGGTTTTAAGTTCATCAAATATTTATAGAAATATATACGACATACAACATTCACCGTAGTAAATACTATAAAGTAGACATTTTGAAATCATCCTCCATGATCATTTGTGTTCACAATCAACAGCCGCCAGCTTCATGTCGTCAGAGACAATAGGAACTGGTCAAGTGTCTGAGCAAATGGAACCTTGTTGATCCGTGAGGGAAAGTTGGGTTGTGACAAAAGGTTTAAAGTGCTCATTGAAAGTAATTATTGAGTACATACAATATCAAAATGTCTGAGGTATAAAAATCACAAGCATAAAAGGGGATCATAAAAAAAAGAGCAAAATGTTTGCTATTTACCGCAAGTGGCCATTAAAGCTGCAGTAAAAATGAATATTCATCAATCAAATGTGATTCTTGGATTTCATTTTTAGGTATGTGAGCAATGGAGACACAGACGGCATGAAGCAAATTGTGAGCAGGGAAGTTTGGAAGCTGACTCGGGTCACACAGAGAAGGGAATGTAGTGGAGACGACATGGAGAGGATGAGGTGATGAATCAGTGAGGAAGAAGCAATGAGATGAGGAATGTTTACTTTCATCACAAATGTTTGTTTGGCACAACCGTCGCCTCAGGATCACTGCAGGGGTAAAAAAAAGCAGATCTGCTATGTTTGCCTTATCCTGACCAATCCTCTACAAATACATCTCATGCCATATTATTATTTGCAAAAACAATCTCCAACCAACAGGGAGTAAAAGGGATGGTTTCTCATTAACTGGACTGAACAATGTAAAAGCAGTATTTGTCTATGTAGATGACCTCATTTTCATGAGCTACATGAACCTCAGCACATGAAATTAATGTGTTTACCATCTGATTCATCATCGCCAACACAAAAAAAATTCAGGTAAATCTCCTGCTAAAGTCAGAGTATTGCAAATACTTATTTCCCTGTTTGTATCTCTATTTGTGCACTAGAGTCACATAACTCAGACAACTAAATTGATGACCTTGGACTGGACTTGAAAGAAAACAACTCGTGACTTCACTTGAGCTTGAGCCAGAGGATGACAAAGTATGTTATTTGAAAAGTGTGGCCCAGGGATTCATTTCCTGAATGAGATAACGTTGAAATTAGTCAGTCCCACCAAGACGACCCTTGATTACCCTCATCCACTGTGTTTAAGCCAATCCGGCAGCATCCAATCAAGTTGCAAAACCATGAAGGACTAACGTTATTTTTTTGAGTGCCAAAAAAACAATACGCCAAAGATAATTTTGTTCACCTACAACAAAACGCCTGGTCAACAAAAAACAAATTGCAGAATGAATAACATAAAATAATTACAGGTGAAGATGCAAATGGCTTTACATTTGATGGGGGACTTTGCACTCGTCAGTCTTCTGTGAGGACAGAGATTCACTTTCACTGGAAACAAAGACTTGGAATATTGCTATTCTGATTCATCTTAAGTCTCTTGAAGAAATAAATACTTAAAGGACCTTAGGATGTAAAGCGTTTCAGTCGGGCGCACAGATCAACTGCAGATGTTTGTCAAGAACAAAGAGTGTGGAGGGCGAGGAGAGGCGAATTGTTTAACGAAGTCTGAAAACATTTCAAAGCAGATCCATAATATCTGACCTGATACTGTAATCGCTTGGCTCTGTTGTGTGTGTCTTTGTACGTGCTGCTGCCTCCCCACAATGAAACGTTTGTCCCGAAGCTTTTTGCAAAGCAGCCACCACATCTCATTCTATACATGAACAGCAACTAAAACATGCAAACAGATGGAAGCTACATACCAGCGCTTAAAACACATTTCATGGCATTCAATGTGCAGACTGCATGTATCCATGGGAGGAGCATGATACATAATTCTTCAGTGAATGAGTAACCACGGCGACCAATCACAGCCATCATCAAGCAACAAGAGAAGCAGTCATCGAACTATGGAGTTGAGGAGTAAAGTCGCATTCAAAATAAAACACCTCCACACACAAAGGAGACGGCCCACGATAGAAGACAATATCTACTTCATTATAAACTCCTGTGGCAAGAATATTGACTTCATACAAAACCTCCTGCTGAGTTAAGGAGAAAAAAGGGCATGCTGAAATATAGATGAAGATGAAGAATTGCAAAATGCTCAACGAAAAAGCCACAACGGATACTAACAGCAAGTTGTACAACTTCCCGAACAGAAAAAAAGGAACCTGTTAACATGCACACAGTAAACATGTTCGGACTGACGGACAAGTGGGAAGACGAACAAATACAGACATGCTGGCCCTTTTGCATTCCAAGGCCATTCTTTGAAGCTTCAGTCGGGACTCTTGTGCTCACGTCCTTCCTAAATGTTCACCTCTTCTGTTCAAAGTCCTGCGGAGCTGCCAATGTGTCTCAGTGTAAATGGCGCCCAACTTCAAGGTCAATTATCCAATCATTGCTCAGAGAACATGAACAGGGTACGTGGAGAAACGCTGTTTATCTGCTCTACTGCGACATGCAGCTGTTAGATCGCTGACTAGCTTAGTAACCATGGCAGCAAACCAGCGTCACTTCCTCGATCAAGTGGTCTTCCACACAGTAAAAACGCCGTTGTCAATTATGTGTCGAGAGGAACTTTCTTTTTCGTTTATTGTGTTGGTTTTTGATTAATCAAATACTTTTTGTCCCTGTAGAGTCTGACATACTTTAACCTACGTTGATCTAAGCCACACCACCCAACCACATTGCAGAATAGTTGTAGTTGTATGAGAATGCAGTGTGGGCTGTCCAAGACCTTTTAATGCTCACAAGTAGCACATCTACTGTGTTTTATTTCCCCTCTGGCCCTGGATGCTGCTAGTTTAATGTTGGCAGCTCTTTCTTGATCTGTTTTGGTGGCCACTTCTACACTGTAATACAATGTTGTTTCCACTTTTGTCTCAGATATTTTAGCACGTCATGGAGTTCACCTTCAAGCGCATATCATTTCACTGGTTTTGTTTTTAAACAAACAGTTTAAAGTCAGATGTCGTTTCCAAAGCTGCGTTTGTACAATTGGGCGTAGCCACAGCACCTTAAGACTGTTTTACACTCTGCAGCTTGTGATGGCAATGATCTCATGCTCCTTATGGTTTATGAAAAGGCCAGACTTGGCAGGAGAGGATGGAAATGTTAAACACCAGTTCTTGTCCCACTGTTTCTTTTCAAGAGTCCTGGTGTTTTTTACCAAGGCCTTACGAATACAAATACTACATTCAAGGTTCAACTCAGGCTACGAGCCACCTCATTAAAAGTGCGTTTTAACCACTTCAACCAGCAGAATTTTCCAATTAAGCTGCGGCCTGTGATTGGATGATTGATGCGTGGATTGACCAGCTGCTGCCCGTCGGGGCTGAAAAGGTCTCACCTCATGAATTTCTTGGGTTCGGTGGGAGGGGTCGGCGGGGGAAGAGGTTTGTTGGAGTTGAGTTCAAGATGGTGGAGGGGGGAGTTGGGGATGGGCTCTAGGCGGCTGGGCTGGGCTGGGGGCGGGGGTGGGGGCAGTGGGGGCTGCCCACTTCCTGAACCTGCCACGCCCACACCCATACCGGCTGCCTCCAGAGCCCTGACATTAGGAGAGCTGCTGAATCGGCTGGCTGCTGTTTTCTCAATCTTTTTCTTTTGCTACACAGACAAAAAAAAAAGCAAAGAGGGGGCACGGGAGTCAAAAAACGAGCAATCAGGAAGTTAAAAAAGCAAATAATAAGAAAAGATAAGAAGAAATGGAGGGGAGATGGAGAACAGGGAGAGCTCCGAAGGTCGGAACAGTCCATCCAGCGACAGAGACAGGAAGAGAGCAGCGTGCTAACTCGATCCTATCTAAAGGTCGATCGAAAGCAGAGCGAATGGATCAATCTGAAGACTGGCATCGCTCAGCAACAGTCTTAGAAGCAGCAGTCGCTTTGAACAGAATGGAAGTTCAGATGAGCTGAAGCAGAACACGTCTCACACTAATAAATGGCTTGGAAAGCAAAGGAGAGCTGGAGGAAAAAAGTCAGGGAGAACAATCGAATCCAGTGGAAGAAACAGTGAACACACAAACATACACATATACAGATACGGGGGGGAAAAAATACTTGTGACAGGTACAAAACTACTGGAAGTTATAGAACCCGAGAGATGACGATAACAGATAGATACTGATCATGCAATGGGGACCATTCAACTCAGATGTACAGCTGGGAATGAGATATGGTGTTTTCCATGAGCACTGGGACCATAAAGCCCTGAAAACACATTTCTCATTATGAGCAATGGGATCCTGCATGGACACACATTTTGGTCATTTAACTTCAGGAGATTCCCTTTCTTTTCACTTCAACAAAGAGTAAATAGTTATATCTGATGAATCCAGTGTGATATATTTTGGCGGAGCATGGACTTGGACACTTTCGTTTGATGTCTGTAATGAAATGAGACCATGGGAGGCTCGACTGTTGGCCTCCATGATCACACCTGAAAAACCCCTCCATATTTCCTATTAATCGTTTGGTTTTCTGTCATCATTCTTCTGGGCTGTGTTGGAAAAAAATAAACTTGTTCAAATAGATTTTTCTTTTTCATCACCCTTTTACCTTCTGCCATTTGTTGTGAACTTCAAGATGGTGTCTTTTGCCGTGTAAAAATGTCCCTCTGTGGCACAAAGTGGTGCAGTACAACTTTTCCTGCTCGGCCTTGAAACCTTCACGTGAAGGCTGACAGCCGCCTCAAAATGGTCTCATTTGTTCCAGCGCTTAAATATTTGTAAATTACCATGGTTACCACAATGCAACGATACCTACCAAAACATCAGCACTGACTGTCCTCGATCAGTCCGCACTGATTGATAGAAAAGGAGGGAGGGTGGATCTGCTCTCCGCTATGTGCTAAGATGAAGCCGGCTCATGAGGGACACCCCCCCATCGCCCCACGTGTGTGTGAGTGGCGTCCAACAGGACCGCAGGGTCTACCTTAATGAGCGGGTTGATGACTCCTACGTTAGGACTGGCGTTGAACACTTTGTTGAAGTTGGTCTCCCGGTTGACGAGTTCCAGCTGGTAGAACTTCTTATCGTCCTGCAGGAGAAAAACGATCAAAACATGTCAGCTGACGGAAGACTTTAGGGACATTGAAAAGGAGACGGAGAAGCTCCAGGAGGTAGAGGACTCCTCCTGTGTACGCAGCGCACACGACTCTATCCGCGGACACCTACCACCAGTTTCTTGACGAGAGATTCTCTCTCAGACACCATGTCCTTCAGCTCAGCGATGACCTGCAGGTCCTCCTGGCGACTCTCCCTGTTCCTGAACTTGTCCTCGGTTCCTTCCAGCCTGCGAGACAGGACCAGAAATGTTGTGAGACTGAGAGACTTACTGAACAACGTACATTTTATTTAAGAAGTGTACTTAAGCCCAAGTTGGAGTTGGTGCTTGTTCTTCAGCTGCCTGAATCTCAGAGGCCCTTTTTTGACTGCACTGAATTTATCTGACAGCTTTACTTTTCAGATTTTAATATTTCATACCCTTACTGCCTGGTGAAAATATGTGAAAAAAAGAATCATTTCAATGTTTGTAATAAGCTGAGGGATGAAGCATAAGCTAAATAAACTCTAAAGAGCCTCTTGGATCAGCTAAAAAAGGCATCGGCACGAAGCTGAAAACGGGCTTTTCTGAGCTCAAGAAGTTATTTTTATATTTTAACGATGCTACAAATACATGATGATGATTAAACCAGCCAAAAGTATATAAAGGATCTGAAACATCTACAGCAGTATAATGCAACAGACAGGAACGCAGCAGTAATATACTGTATATCCCAAAACACAATATTTAACAGTAAAATACTGACATGTCTCACTGCACAGTACTTTCGCTTTTCATACTTTTAGTTGATAACACTCACATACACATTCTGCAGTACCATTTTGAATGCAGGACTTTCACTCCTAGTGGAGTACTTTTACAGTGTGGTATAAGTACAGGATCTGAATATCCACCACCTGTGCAAAGACACTCATCCTGAGAGAAGAGTCCATCATCAATGTATTGAACATTAACTTTTAACTACACATCTAAAAAGAGTAGGAGCCAGGTTATAAGGACAATTTACGAGAGAATGGAATAAAAAGGTACTACAGGGAGTAAAAAGATGAGAGAACGTACTTTACTTTTTCATTAGCTTTTGATCAATAAGACAGTGATTATCGCCAGTTTCTTCCCTTTCCTGCAATCTTCTCCCCTCACCGTCCAAGCAGTGTTATGAGTTACTATCCCAAAGTCATTTTTTAAAGGGTTTTTTCCGAGAAATCCTCCCTCAGGCTCTTTTCACACTCCATTTTACCCAAACGCAACAACCGCTAAAGATCGCTGAGCAGACGAGCTGATCCTTGAAGGGGCAACAATAATAGCAAGAAAATGACTTGTTTGTTTAAACAAAAATAAACAAACAAACGTAAAATTGAAAACGAATCATGGAACTACATTTCTGGAGGGCCGCAGAGCGTTTTCCCAGCATGTTCAGCTGTTTCACCGATTCTTTATGTGACAGTGAGCTGAACAGCCTTCTACCTCCCACACCGTCACATCCCAAGCGGCTGAGGGGGGGGGGGGGGGGGTTTGTGTGACATTTATGCCACAGGTTGAAGTCGCACTCTTGTAAAGGCCAGGCGCCGTGACAGCTTGTCTTCCAGATAAACCAAGCTCTGCCAAAGGAGTGAATGGTGCTGGACAGGAGCAGCCATTCTAGCTCCCCGCTCAGTGATACAGATACACGCTGATCTGCACTTTCCATCAGATGAACTGTCTGCCGTTGTGCTGGTCCGTCTGTCCCCCCGACAGACAATTTATCGGGCTGCTCCCGTGAGACGGGTCATTTTGTGGGTGGCCTGAGCATCAGAGCCTCCTTTGCTGCTGACCCAGTGTCTGCGCCTGGCAGGAACTAGGTATGCGACATACAGGGAGCATCAGGGGGTCCGAGCACTCTCGTTGAGCACTGATCTCCGTCCTTCTCAGAAAGGCCCTGCCGGTGTAAATGCTTTGTGGACACTCTCCCTTATACTGCAGCTCAATTCCTAGCTGTCTTTTAAGAATTCTGTCTTGTTGATCTACTTGACTTGCAGAAATTGTCTGTATCAAAATAAATTTACTTCGGTGCTTCCTGGCTTCCTTTTCAGGACTCATTCATGGCGACCCCCCCTCCCCCAGGAAACAACCTGTTCCATCCACTATGGAGCCACAGACCACTGTACGCTAAAACAACCAGACGCATCCAGTCTTTCTTGCAGCTTGCCATCACTCTGATCAACACTAAACATCAGTCACATTGTGTCAGGCAAAAATCCACGTGCAGTAGCCCTGTAACACTGAACAGCCCCTGTAGCTTTTGGTTATCCTAGTTTTAGCTGTGTGAGTCGGGGGAACGAGCCGGGACAGGGGGAGTCGGGGGAGCGAGTTGGGGAGCCAGGACTGGAGGATTTGGGGGAACGAGCCGGGGAGCCGGGACTGGAGGATTCGGGGGAACGAGCCGCGGAGCCAGGACTGGAGCCTTAAGCCTTTATGTTACATATGATAATGATGCGTAATGAAAAGTTAAGTCCTGAACAAAGTAATTGCAATATGTCCAGAGGGAGACATGAATGTCTCGATCACAATTTTGGGTTGTATTCATTTGTAAAATACACACCTGGCAGAGGTGTGAAATTTGCACTCTGCACTGCTCTAATGGTGTTATCTATCTATGACAGGGGTGTGCTAAATGAGCCAATGGATTCCTGACTTTTCCTTGTCAAATTTTGTGGATCATTTTTCTTTTTTACGTTTTGTGTTTTTAGGGTCTCTAATTGTCCATTGTACGTCACACCCTCTATATAAATAGATATTGTGCATTAGTGTTTGTGTAGTAACAGTCTTAATTAAGTCTTAATATGGATTTTTTTTATAGATGTTAATATTTCCCAGCAAAAATGCTCTGAATAGATGCACGTCCTCTTTGGTCAGGCAGGTGGCGCTTTGCTCCCGGCTGACTCAAAGTAAAAGGAGGTCAGCTCTGATGAGGATGTTAGCTGGCCGCACGTCTTCTGAATCCAACACACACCCACAAGAGTTTTCCATATGCCATTTCTTTTTTAAAAATCTTATTCTCTTTTATATCAATGTTCTTCTCTCCATCTCAGAAACTATTGTTTTCTCTTGAGGTTTGGTTAATTTCCCTTCTGACCCGACATCCTCCACTGCCCAGCGGCAAAATGTACCTTTCAACTCCTTTCTTCATTTCTTTCTCCATCCATCCTCTGCTCTGAATGCACCGGCATTCAGAGATTCACAGCAACGTCACATCTCATGCACACTCTTTTGCTCAACGTGCTGCATCCCCACAGCTTTCTCTTGTGTTCTTCCCTTCTATCGATACATTGCAGCATTTGCTTCATCACTTCCTACACTCCCACTGCATGTCATCAATAATATAAATTCACTTCTACGTATTCAGTAAAAAAATGATTGTCTTCTTTACTTACTGAGCTAAACATTCTTGATCTTTATTCCATACTTATATAACTTCGATCTTTGATCCCTGCGAGGCCTACGCCGAAGGATTTTTGATCTGTTAACGGAAGTTACTTCATTTGGCAGAATACATTTTGCCAAACAGCTGAGCTTTTTTTTTTTCAAAAGTGAATAATTCCAATGTTCTATTTTTCAACCACTGAAAATGACCTCACCAGGGGAGTGAAATCCTAAACAATAACCTCCTGGCATGCGTCATGATAACATACTATTCATGCCCAAAATATTCAGTATATAATGAAACCATTACCATTATAAAATGCATTCATTACTGAAGTGATGAGGGTTAAAAGGGAGCTCTTTAGGCAGGGTTGTGTCAATGAAGCAAATCAGACACGCAAAACCGTCAAATCAACAACGCAGTACAGCCAGAGCCAATGACACCAAGGACAGGTGAAAATGAATGTTCTCCAGGGACCTGACCTGGGTCTCTGCACTAGGGCTTTTGCTACGTTTATAATACAATAACTTAGATAGTGGCTGACGTGCTCAGAGTTTTCAGAAGCAGACAGGAGTACCGGCATGGAAGCAATGTTCTGCCCTGGATAAGATAGGACAGGTTTGTGTGGATGGGAAACTCCCACATCAACACCAGAGTAACCGGTCGAGACAGCGGCAGAGGAGCGATTCCCGTGTTCTTCAAAGTAAAGGGTGGCTTTGAAGAGGGCAATAAAAAGATTTCAGTTCCCTGCCGTTAAGGGCTTTCAGACAGCTATCTTTAAATAGAAGTTGGGGCAACATAATAACACATTTGAACAGTTAAATCCATTTTTGTTTTTTGGTCATCAACTACCAAAAAACACATCAGACCCCGCTCAAGCCATGTGAAAAGCAAAATGTCCGGCAGGCTTGGCAGTTCTTACAGTTTATGTGACGCAACCATGTTGACGCACATCATGTTGACTCAGAGAAAATACAGCGTATGAAACTGACACTTACCTTTACTCCTAAAAGGAAAGGTTTTGATACAAATCAGGTATCAAGTAGCAAAACACTTGTCAAACAAGTGTGCACAGTTTTAGCAAAATAAAGGCACATTCCCCCACATGACTATGGATTCAGGAGCTCGAAGCAACGTATGCATTTGTGTTTCTCTTTCTTAAACCCTTGATTTCATGGAGACATTTTCACATGATGCCGTGATTGCGTAAGATCACTGACGAGTGGAAAAGATGACGTCTTTTTTCTCACATTTGATGTGCTCAATTGGATCTAGGACGAATAGTTTGACTGCTGCACACAGTAATCATGATTTAACAATGACGCAAGTGTCACTCGTCCGTGCCCCTCATTGATGCACAGTGGTCTGAAGACCGCACAAGCACACAGTGTGTTTACAGTGTGTACATACAGTATCTGAAGGGCGGAGATCTTGTCCTTGAGCACTTCCTGTGCCTTGTTGAAGTCTGACAGCATGTTCTGCGTCTCTCTGCTGTGGACAACGCTCATTTCAGTGAGCTCTCTCTCGTGCCTCTTCGTCAACTCTTGTTCATGAGCTCTGTGGAAAAGAGAGCGGAGGGTTAAGTGTCACTCAGTTTCACTGAGGTGGACCCCATTTTTAGAAGTTATACACTGTAAGTTAAATCAACAGCAATTCATAGTGTTCCATTTATTTAATTATTTACAGATTAAACAATTGCATTTTCTGTTAAAGAAACTAGTAACAGAACCGATAAATGTAGCTCTATTAAGACTTTACTTTGTGAAATATAAGTACCATCAAATAGAAAATTGAGCTCTGCCACATCTTTGGTGACCATGGCTGTTATGTGCCATGGGTTGAAAGAAAGAAAATATCAACATACCAACACTAAACCATCCTTCCTTTTCATGAAGCTGCTTGAATGAAGCCGTACCAGTTACAGTCACAACTCAAACATTAGGATAGAGTAAGTAAGTCCCTTAGTGGTTGAAGTATAACAAACCTTTTGTACTATGAATGTACGTACAAAATGACCGCAGATACGATAATATGAAAATGCACACAAACATAAATATGGTCTGTCAGTCACTAGTGTACAAATGAATGTAAAACTAAATTTAGTAAATGACCAATCTTATCCAGAAATGTTCGGTTTGCACAACTAGAGGGTTTCACTACGGGAGGAAAAGGAGCAAAAAGAAAGGAGGATGGGAAATGGGAATAAAAGAGGATAATAATTAAATGAAAAAAAGGCTGATGAAAGGAAAGGGATGTGAGGGTTGAAGGAGGATGTCTGTCCGCCTCTCACTCTGACGGGGCTCCCCGAGGGCCGCACATATTATCTCTCCCTGCTTCCTCTTTATTTATTTATCGGCCTATTTTTAGCCCTGTGACCAGGATTCAGATGGGGAGTTACATAACGGAAGCAGAGAGAGAGAGAGAGAGAGAGAGAGAGAGAGAGAGAGAGAGAGAGATTTTTTTTGATTTTTGAAAAACCTTTATTTTACATAAAAAAACCAAATTAGAATCATTTCTTCTCATTTGCCCGTCTTCTTGCTCAGGATCCTCCTCCGCCGGTCAGACGCCTCACTCAGTCCCATTTCCTCCATCCCTGGTGATCTTGAGGTTGATCTTCCTTAGTCGGAAGACCTCCTGCTGGGTGTAGTCTGCCCCACCCTTTTTCGTGCAGCCGTGTCGAACGGAGCGCGCAAACTTCTCCAAGTCGGAGAAGTAGTCCTCCAGCTCCACTCCTCTCTGGTTCTTGGTGGCCTGCAGGAACGCTTTCATCTGCCCCACCCCGTGCCTGCTGGTGACCGTCCCCCCTGAGGAGACGCTGTCTTCAGAGGCCCACCCTGAAGAGGACCCTGACTCCACACCTCCCACCTTTCCTCTGCGCCCCCCTCTTTTTGCCCGAGAGCCTCCCCTGTTGGCCCTCGTCTTCCTCTTCAGGCGGGGGGCCTTAAAGTCCACCCCCCCCTCTTCCATATATTCCTCGCTGTCCGAGGTTCCACCTCGAACAGCTCCCCCACTACCAAGTGCCCCCATCCCCTCTTTCACTCGGTCACACACACCTGCCCGCTGGGCTACATTCAACCCCCCATCCACTCCGACATTCATCCCCTCTGACCCCTCACCCACCTGACCGACCGGCTGGCTCTCGCCCAATCCCACAGTCTCCCCCTCATCCACCTGGTCGCCCGGCTGGCCCTCACCCAATCCCACACTCACCCCCTCACCCATCCCCACAGTCACCCCCTCACCCACCTGACCGACCGGCTGGCTCTCACCCAATCCCACAGTCACCCCCTCATCCACCTGACCGACCAGCTGGCCCTCACTCGTCACCGCACTCACCCCCTCACCTGTCGCCACAGTCACCCCCTCACCCACCTGACCGACAGGCTGACCCTCACCCGTTGCCACACTTACCCCCTCAGCGACCGGTTGGGCTTCACCTATCGCCACACTCACCCCCTCACCCGTCCCTACTGTCACCCCCTCATCCACCTGACCGACCGGCTCGGCCTCACCCCCTCTCACACTCGCCCCCACATCCAGCGGAGCGGACGAGGGGTTCCTCTCCGGGCAACCCCTCGCCAGGTGTCCCTCTCCGCCGCAACGGAAACACCTCCCATCGTCCGATGTGGCGAACATGGCGTAGTCAAACCCCTCGATCTTCACCTTAATCACCAGGTGGAGGGCCTGGGGTTTGGTGAGGACCATGTGGAGTTGTCTCCTGTGAGACACCACGTGCCTCATTAAAGGCGACTTGCAGCCTGAGGACAGCTTTTTAAGCGGGGACACCACCTTCCCGTGTTTGACCAGCTCCTCCAGCAGCACTCCGTCAGGGACGAACGGCGGAACGTTCGCCACCGTCACCCTGACGGCCGGCACCGCGAGCGGAAGAACGGGCACGTGCGCCCCGCGGACCACCACGCCGCTCGCCACCACCTCGCGCGCCTTCTCCACACTATCTACAAAAATGACCACCGCGCGGTTCATCCACGCGGCGGACTTTACGCTCCCGTGCCCAACCAACCCCCCCACGGCCAGACCGCAGTCCTCCACGGAGCACGCGAAGCCCGGCGCGAGCTTCACGCCGTGCTTCCGCGTCAGCCCCGTGAGGTCCGACATGCCGACCGGCTACAAACGCAGACAAAAACACATAAAAAGAAAGAAAAGTCACACGTACACACCAACACGCATTCACCCCACAACGCACACCAGCAACCACGCCGAAAAATACACGAGATAACAGGTAGGAAACACATCCAAACAATTCACCTCACGCTCCGCACACTCAGCACTCCTTCCGCTCAGAGAGAGAGAGAGAGAGAGAGAGAGAGAGAGAGGACGCATATATATGAAGGACCAGCAACACATGAAGCAATAAATGGGTAAGGCACCGTGGGAGCAGTCATCAAACAAACTCACGTGTAGAACATATACGAGTAGCTCGGCCATATTAGCCACATGGCACTTTAAAAACATTAATAGTGCTCCAGTGAAAAACATGATTATAGATTCCACTTTTTCTTTTACCCTAAACAAACTTCACTAATCAATTGCTCCTGACACTGCTCGGGGGGGGGGGGGGGGAGGGGTTCCCTATTCGGGCTTTTCTTTTTCTCTCTTGTGCTTTTCTTTTCTCGGGCATTTCTCTCGCCTGCTCCTCATAGCCCCTGGGTCGTGCTAATAAAGACTATTAAACCATTTCTAACTCTGGGTCCCGCACCACAACCCACATGACAAAAAAAGGTCGGCAAACCATCCTGAAATGATGTCAATGATGATGTATTTATTTTTGTTTTCTGTGTTGCTGGTCCAATTCACCGATTCACCTGAAGTCATTTTAGTGAACAGCGGGTGCAAAGAGTTCTAGATGTGCAAACAGTGCACATCTAGAATTCACCTGCTGAAAACGATTTGGTGTGGATAACGTTTCACAGCAAAGCCAGCACGTCTGCTATTTATGCTCAGCTCAGGCAAACACCTCTGAGCTCCAGTTCTGTACTTAAGGTACAAACACAAAAGTGGTGTTATTTCTTTTAGACAAAGAAAGAGATAGTATGAGTATTTCCCAAAGAAGAATAACTAGAATCGCAGACTCAAACTTATCCAAAACAATAATCCAATAAAGACAAAAAATATGGAAAATAATAATCCAAAAAAGCATGAGGTGAGCAAACACTGTATTAAAAACTGAAAACATAAGAAAATATAATTTCTCTGCTGGCCTGAAACTGTTTACCAAGGTCTGTTTACATTTTCTAACCCCTAAAGAAGAATCAAGTGTGTTGTGGGAGTTTTTATGGAGTGGAGAACCCTTTCTGGTAATACCTATGACGTGTGCAGGATATCAAACACACTGACCAGTGATAAAAATGGTGGAGTAAGACTTTAAAAACAACATTTCACCCACGCTCAAACAAGGAAACTCAAGGACCACCACTCTAAATTCAAGGGGAAAAATGTTCAACAGCTTGGTTGCCAGGTTACAGGCTATTACGATTAAACTGCATTGTGAACACACAGGTTTAGTACTACTCCAACTGTGTGAACATGAATATTTCAGACTATGGCTGAAGATGCCTCGTGTATCAGACATGGATAAGAAGGATATGTCTGTTGGTGCTGGTTTTTGAAAGGATATGAAGACTAGTCACACAACAAGTCACTTTCCTGAAATAAATAATTTCACATAAACGCACCATAGCATTATTCACTCCAATCTGTATTTCCAATTGCAATGACTTCAAATGAACATACATAGAAAACAAAAGGAGCATGTTGCAATTTGGTCTTGTCATCAAAATATCTTCTTTTCCTCTGAGCTGAAGGCTTTCATTACAACACTGTGTTGTGTCTCAGTGTTGAGTCATACCTGATCTGCTGATTGGCTTCGCTACGGATCTTGAGCACCTCCTTGCCCTTGAGCTCCAGCTCTTTAGTCAGAGTGCTGATATTTTCGTTGAGTGTGTGGATCTGGTGGTCCAGCTGAGCGATGTGGTTCTTCCTCCTGGAGACCTCCTCCTGCAGCTCGGTGATCCTGCCCAACAGCTCTCGCTCCTAGAAACGCAAAGAAAACAAATCCGTGTTCGGTTTCATGGTTTAATGAGTTGACCTCCCATACTGTTATACGCTCCAATGATTTGTAATTACTTTCTGGTTACGAAAGGAAAATCCACAGACACGGGCGTTTACCTTTCTAATTTTTCATCATATCAACTATTAAGTCCAAAGTCGTGTGTGTTCATCTACATGAACTGAGAGGCACCGCATGTCTTAATTTAGTAACAGGTAGCTAGATGAGGCAAAACTACCTACTAAGATAATAAACTAAATACATAAGAAGACTGATAGACTGATGACTGACTGACTGCTTCTAAAAAGAATCTTATTTTGGTTTCTTGGTAAATGTACCATATTTTCAGTGAAATGTTTTTATTTATGTGAATGCAGGCGTACAAAAGAAATGACTTACGTAGGAGGAAATCTTTCTGAAAATAGTTTGAACAAAAGTTACACTTCAGTGCGAAGATTGATTTAAGTTGGTGAACAGGGATTTGGATTTCTGTCTTCCATGAAAGTTCCCAATTTATAACAATTTATTCCAAGGACTGTGTTCATAATACAAGTAGATATTATGAAACACAACAACCTAAAAGGCTACCAAGAGAGGGCATTGCCAATTTGACAATGTTCACCAAAGGGAATAATAATGATAACTGTATCTGCCGTGAGTTTGGATCCGCTCCAAAGCGTAATGGCTTCTTCTTATACTACAACCTTTCACCAAGTTTGACAAAACGGCAGTAATCACTCGGACAACTAAACAAACAAACCAAACCTAAAACATGACCTCCTCAACCGAGGAAATGAACCGCAACTGTCTGAAAGAGTATGCAAGACGTTTAATCAGGGATATGCGCTTTGTAATTGACAACACAAACTTGGCTCCTAAATAAATGAGATTATTAATCTACAGTAAGTGAGCCAAAGGTCCTGGCTATTAAATGCTGCCAAACTGACAATGAGTGTTAATGAATGAAGCGACAGTGAACGGTAATAATTATTATCACTCACTGAAAAGTGAAACACACACGTGTGGTCCAGAACGGTTCCTTCATGAATCAAAGTATGAATGACACCTAACTTCATTACTTAAGGCCCTCCTTAGAAAAGGCTGAGCTAGAGCAGTGCTGCCTTCCAATTGTATAAAGATAAGTTGTGTGTAAAGTGCGAGCGTGGCTGTGCAGGCGTGTAATGCACCTTGTAAAACAAGCAAGAACCGGCTCACGTGGAAAAGGTTCTCTGTCACGACATTGTTCTCCACATCTCCGATGGAACCGACTACCCGAATTACTCACAACGCCCCCGGAGAGCTGCTCTTTTCTTCTCAGCCCTACAGGGACACCAGATGTCACTGTGATATGTGTGATGCGAGAAGAGGAACAAGTCATCTTTGTCAACAGGGTTGCGACCAAACAATGAGTTTCAATTAAACACGGAACCCACCTGACGTAACAATGAATCAATTTTATTCGGGATATGACTCACTACTTCACAAGAGCTGATGTGAAATGACGTTTTTTAAAGCTTCTTAAAACATCAGTGCTGGCTGATTTAAGTATGCTATCAGTCGATGGAATCCGCACCATGGATTTGGGTTAGATGGCGGCATCGTTTGTTCACATGGTTGACCACAGCTACTGATACAAGGAGATGACAGCCGCTGGGTCAAAGCAAAGGTGGAGTATAGGTGGAGTGTAAAGTACTACGAAATAACTGAACATTCTTTGGAAAATTATACTAGACAAATGTGACTGGAATTAAAATGTCCAGTCGGACTCAGAGCCACCGACTGACTTTCTTGAGGCTTTAAGACGACAGCACCGAGCCACACATGAGAATACCAAGGACAACAGCAAACCCAAAATTATGACATCATGGAGGTCCAAGGACTTAAGAGATATTGATCCTTTTCATCTGTAAATAGCATCTTTGTTGTCAGTGGTGGTATATTTGTTAACACCCTATCCTGTAGCGGGTAGCAGCGCCAGCCTTGTTTACCAAATTGATCATTGTGATTAGAGACTTCAATCAAGAGGCAAAGACGTGATCTGAAGACTCCCAGAAGAGGGCCACTTAACTCCACCAGAATCAGAATATCGTCACGTTATTGCTCACTAATGATTCCCCACTTTTTCCATGAAACTTCCCAATTTATAACAACTTATTCCAAGGACTGTGTTCACATATACAAGAGCCATAATCTCGTGTAATCGCCTCATGGTCACAACCTCCTGCCTCACTATCTGTCTCCATCTGAGTCTCCCTCAACATCTTAATTTAATGTCATTGGCTGATTTTTCGCTTTCCATAAACCTAGCGGCGCAATTAAACACAATGGGGACAGGGCAGATTGATCTTTTAATGACTTATTTACTGATTTCACTCTCCCTCTCTCTCTCTCTCTCAGAGACAAAAGGCACATGGGCAACAAAACCCCAACCCAAAAGATGATAAGAGTAAAAGAAAGGAAAAAAAGAAAATGGAAAATGTGTTCTCATTATATTACAGCTTATTCATCTGTTCAATGTTCATTGCACACTGTATCTTTCTAATCTCTATTCTTCTCCACAGGAATAAATGGGCACCATCATTTTTAGTCTGCCACCCTTTCTATTTTCTCATTTTCAGGTCTTTGAAAAAGAAAAAGATATTCATCAGGCGAGAGGAAACTAGCCGGCCAAATCTCCTGCATCTAACTGAAAGTGGAAAAATGTATCAAAGATGATGGCTGGGCATTTCTTGGTGGGTATTCCAGGCTGACGGATTGTATATTATATAATTAGCTGCACTTTATATAGAATACTTCAAAAATTGTATTAGATTAAGATTGTGATTGCTGTTGTTTGTTTTAATGGATATTTGTAATGTTGCATGTCAACCAACCGCCATTTTAACAATATCTCCTACATATTGAATAAACAAGCCATTTTGCAGACGTGTTGGAAATGTTGTCAGTTAGACAAACATAATCATCCGAAAAATACAAACATTCAGGCCTCCCATGCGGCTGAAAGGTGTATCGCAGAATGTTGAATAAAAGACTACAAACTTAACTCACTATTTAACTCATCTCTCGTTTTGGTTTGTTCACCATCACTATTAGCATCTTTTTTTTCTATGGGCTCTTCTCACTGGTTGAGGTCAGAGTTCACGTGACACACTTTGAGCGTTTCTTTTCTATGGGCTCATTCGTTGTTGAGGATGAGAGACAGCAGCCACTGCTCAGGACTGACACAAGCACTGCCGCATCCTCTGCATCTATTCAGGTCAATAAATGAACCAGCCATATTAACAGGGAATATTCTCATAAAAGGATGGATCAGTTAAGATGCAAAAAACTTAAACCTAAAAATTAAACCTGTTAATGTGGGCGACTGTGGGTGAGTGGGGAGCACGATCGTCCTCCAATCAGAGGGTTGTCGGTTCGATCCCCGGCTCTGCTAACCCGCATGTCGTTGTGTCCTTGGGCAAGATACTTAACCCAACATTGCTCCTGTAGCTGCGACTACAGTGTGTGGATGTTAGTTACTGATGGGCAGGTGTCACTGTGTATGGTTCTCCTGTCATCAGTGTATGAATGGGTGTGAATGGGTGAATGATGTCATGTAGTGTTAAATCACTTTGAGTGGTCGGAAGACTAGAAAAGCGCTATAGTACAGACCATTTAATAATACAGGGTTATATTAAATGGATATTTCTATTGTGTTTGTTATACCACAGAAAGAACTGCAATTTCTTTGTGAAACCAAACCTTTGCCAATGAGATAAATATGTTAAACACTGTACTTCATCAGCTTTCTCCCACGCTGATGTTTGTTAAGCAATTGGTCAAATGAAAACATTATTTAACACAGCAGGACGATTGCTTGCAACTGACCTCTGATGACATCTCTATGTTTATGAGCCTGTAGAGCTCCTGCACAGCTATCATTGAATGTAAACACAAATTCTCTGAGGCACAGTATTCTACCCTCAAAGGAAAATTCACCAGGTGGATCAGTTTGTCTCGTCAAATCTGATGGATTATTTTAAAGCAAAGGGAGGCAACAGCAGATGGCGAAAGGACAGAAAGGACAAAGCCTCTTTCAAATCAGGGCGGCCAAACAGTGATCTTTCCTGCCAGAGACACAGAGATGGTTCCCAATTCAAATCCTTCGCTGCATCTCATCCCGTCTCTCTCGCTGTCATCGCATTTGATGTCAAATTCTCTGCTGCGCCAAATTAAGCTCAGCCCAAAATGTTATCTTTCAAAAAAAAGGGGCAGGGTAAAGTAAAACCAAGCCAGAAGCCGGCACTGGGAACCAAAGCTCATTAAGTTTACATATAAACTGTCAGCCGGTTGGAGTCTTTCTTGACTAAACAATGTAAATCTACTCGGGCATCATAAAAGATGCTTGTGTGCTGTTTCAACTGTTTCAAATGTCTTTTCCTGCAGATTTATGACTGACAGGCGGTTCAGACTGTAATCCTCGACTATTAGCTTTCACTGACCCTGATTGCCTTGCCAACGAAAGATGAGAGGGACCTACGGGGGGTGGGGGGTATTGAATACGACCAGCTGTGCTTCTCTGCTGGGACATCTGTATCACATGGCAATGATGTGGTGTTTGGGGTTAATTAGTATGATTTACAAGACGATGGTAATAGGATAGCCTGCCGGGCGGTGTGTGTGTTTGTGTGTGCATTGGTTTTGTGTGCGTGTGTGAGCTTGCAGCTGGCACACGGGCAAATAAAATGTTTGTGTGACAGCTGGCACATGCATATATTAAAAACAAATAAAGGAACCTGAATCATACCTAAACATATAAACGACTTGATGCATTTGCGATGAATATGTTCATCGTTTAGTCTTTAAAATGGCGGAAAATAATAAAAACACACACTCACAATTTGAAATATTTTAAATTTTTTGTTTCAGATAACTTGCTTGGTCTAACAGTCTATTACCGAAAGATTTAAAAAATGGATGTTGATTATTTTTCTATTGATCGACTAATCCCTTCAGAACCATCTTCAGCTGAAAGGTTCAAATCAATTTTTATTCTTCATTGTTGCTGGCGAAGTCCGCCACTCCTGTACTGAATACAAACTGCCTTCAATCAGGTAACACTGCAGCATGTTATCCAGTTCAGTTTCCTAGACGTCAGCCTCATCGCTTTTTTTTTCACTTTTCACGTGAAACCGAACATTTGCTTCTTCACAATAAAAGCATTCAACTGGCAAAACACAGGGTTGCTTGGATTGTTAGGCGTTCACTGCAAACACACAAAATAAACCAGGAATTAAATCGTATGCCCTATAGCTTCAACCAAAAAAATGTCAATAAATAAATAAAAATATACAATTTGAGGATTTATTTAATAATCTCATATTGGGGCGACGTGCCGCAGAGGTAGAGAGGGTGCGCTGGGAACCGCAAGGTTGGTGGTTCAAGTCCCGGCTGCCCCATGTCCCATGTCGAAGTGTCCCTGAGCAAGATACCTAACCTCTAATTGCAGGCAAAAATGTAAAATGCCATGGGTAAAAATGTAATGTAAGTCGCTTTGGATAAAAGCGTCAGCTAAATGACCTGTTATGTAATGTAATATTCAAAAAAGTCAACCATTACAGTAGCTGGATTTATTTTATTTATATTTACGTCACCCCAACAGATGATCCAGAGGTGCACCAAGTGTCCTACCTGTATCCGGTTGTTCTCCAGGGTTTTCTCCAGCTCCACCTTGGCAACAGCTGACTCCTGCTGATGGTTTTGTCTCAGGTGTTCGATGGCTGATGCGTGGATGTGGTTCAACTCTGATCGCAGAGAGGCTGAGGGAGAAAAGTGCAATAGGAAGAAAAGGACATATTTAATGAGATAGTGTTCAATCAAACAAAGGCAATTTTGTTAAAAAATTAATAAATATTTTTTTGTGCCTCGGATGCCTTTGCCAAAGTGGTATTTAATCCTCACTCCAATGAACAACTTTCGTTGTAAACAGTCTAATGGTTTAGAGAAGTATATAGAGACAAAGCACACAGTTATTAGCCTCTACTTGAAGAATAAGACACATTTATTTTGTCAGAATAAAGCAATACAGCAGTAAAAGCTGACCGCTGCAGTTCTTCTTGCAGTGAACTCATTACATTAACCTACCCTCCCATGAGACACAGATACACACACATTCACACACACAGAGAGGATGGAGGAAATTGAGAGAGGGCAATGGATAAGGAGTAAAAATAGTGTTATTAAAGGACGTAAGGGTGTGGGAGGTGAGAGAAGCAGCTCTCCAGTGTTAGGACCACGACATGAAGGTTAATGGAAGGCCATTTATCACAGCTCAGCACCAGTGTGCTCAGACTGGGTCTACTACATTCTGCTAATGATCTCAATGTTTTAACTGTTGCACATCACATTATTGTATTAAAAAAAACAATCAAAAGGGATGAATATGAAAACTCATCAACACAAATAAAAAGTAAATTGGATTTACTGGATTTAACCATCAAAAGAACACAAAGCCAAACATACATTGTCCCAACCTGAAGCAGGAATGTATTAATTGAGGATGCTGTCTTGCAAAGTTTTCATGATAGATGAAAGAATAAATTGATTCGTAAGAGGGAGAATGCAAAACTATTTAGAATGGATCATTCATTGGGTATATTTTGATGCCTTCACCTTTGCACTTTTACTGAAGTCACACATTGATTTCAGGACGTTTATGAGTGTTTTACAAGGTTTACTATTACTTAGTAAAGGATCTTCATGCTTCTTCTACTCCTATTCATAGTGTAGGATATTAGAAACAAATATACGACCCGGTTCATAAAATTAATAAAAATGCATATAGTGACACCAGAATACAGCCATGATTCTGAAACTGTGTAATCCATAAAGTAATGACAATATTGTAAAACCACTGTAAATCTGCAACTGTAATAGAATAATACCAATGCAGTTATGATTGTATTTGATGTAATGTAATCAACTGGAATGCATGCATGTAATACTTGCACAACCACTGATATTGACTAAGGATCATTCGAAATCCCGAGTTACATTGAACTCACCAGAAGACCACTCCCAGAGGTGTGGACACTGACTTTCACACCTTTAAGCATTGTTATAAATACCTGTAGCAACCATTGTTCTCGAGTTCGCTGGTGGAGGCGGCAGACGGGCACTAGGGATGGTCAAAGGACTGACCTGGGGCCTGTTGGTTGCTGAGACCAGCGGCTCCTCAGCTGAGATGTTCTTTTTACCGCAACGCCATCTCTTTTATTAAATACATTTGATTTTAACCTTTTGATCAGCGATGACCCCTGTCCGTCCGGCGTTTCTTCATTTTTGAACACAACAATAGTTAACTGGGGGGTTAGTATACTAACTCTTGTTGTAAATGTTTTGTATTTTCAGGAAAGATTAAACTGTACTTTTATAAATTCCAACTGCATTTGTCCAGAGGAATTGTGTACTAATACATCTCAAAAGAATAGTCTTGTATTCCTATTCCGTACATGAAAGAGCAGATGTTTGGATCTTCTTTAAGTCCCCACTGTAAAATCTCTGCACACTGAACAAAAACAAAACAAATCTGTGCATTCATAAGTCTTTTTGTTGAAAGGGAAAATGTGCCGGAGGGTCATGGGAGGGTTAATGTTGTTTATGTACGCGCGCACACGCACACACACACACACACACACACACACACACACACACACTAAGCCCCTACCCAGCATGGCTTTGCCCTCGTCCTCCAGTTCAAAGCGAAGTGTTTGCAGCTCTTGTTCCGACTGTTGTTTCAGTGTCTCGATGCTCTGCCGGTGAGAATCTCTGAGAGACTGTAGATCTGCATGGTGATGATGGCGCAGACGCTCCTCCAACTCCTGATGGAGAGAAGAGAGAGCGGTCAGGGGCGGGTGAGAGAGGATAACAGAAAGGAACAAAAAGAGGTGCATGAAAATAGAGATAGAGGAAAACAGATAGCGGGAGTGCCAGGGGGAGAGTGGGAGGGATTATTAGTGAATATTAGTATAGGAGAGGAGGAGAAAGAGTCAAATGTGTATATGAAAAAGTTTAGGTCGAAGGATGAGATGATGTAGGAGAAAGAAGTAAAAGAGATGAAAAATGCTAAATAAAAAGGGAAAAGGGGAGAGAAAGGGCAGTGTTTTAGCATCGTTTTAAATCAGGTCTGAAGGAGGACCTGCCAATCATCACACTGACTCCAATTGTACTCATACAGCAGCTAAGAGGAGAAACGAGACGTGAGATCAACTACCAAGATTTGCTAAAATGTCTTTGTCAAAAGTTAAATGTTAATTGCCTTTTAGTCAAATGATAGGTTTCTTTAAATTGTGTTCAGTTAGTTTCATCCAGCTTTACAAACATTAGCATAGAAAACTGACAAGCACTTGTACACACAGTATTAGCATTAGACATTAGTAATTTGTAATGGAGCGCTGCCTTGACACACACTGACACACACGCACACAAATATAGACACACAGACTAAAATGACACTGCTGGCAGGCAAACGTTTACTCTGGCAGAAAGAGCTCATGTGGATGTGTGAGGGAGCCGCATTGTTGAGTTGTGTGTTTTTTGGAAATATGGTTCAACTTCTTAGGAAACACATTCACTATCGCTTCTTTCAAGTAGAGCGACGTTAGTCCTGTGAAGTGTCTTATTACGGTGAGCTCATCACTCGGGCAAAGTTGGCTTTCAGCCGGCTGTAGATATTTACATATGTAACTTCTGGAGGCAATATTAAGTTATTGTGCACTGTTATTATTTCTAAGTCTCTGACTTTTTTTGTTTTTTTATCAATTAACTTCAGTGCTATCGATCACAATATTTTGTCCGTCACCATGGACACAACACATCTTGTTAGAATATCACAAGTTGTTAAAGATGAATAACATCAGGGGACATTTACATTCAATTACAGTAAAAAATGATGATAATAATAGTTAAAGTTCCTATGAAACGGCCAGCTGATCTGCATATTTCCTTAAGTAATGGATCAAATCATGTAAATTGCCCTCTGTAATCCAACATTGCACCGTAGAACCCACTGTGTCTAAAATTATTTACAGATATATCATTTAAATTAAATCTAATTCTAACAAATAAAAAATACCTCCGCAGGCTGAGAGTTGGGACCCTCATTTTCATTATTTGTGTAAGGAGCTGAGGGGCAGAGTGGTGGAGGGGAGAAAAATCCAGAAGGCGGGCCACCTAAACGAGCGTCAGAAACTCATCAAGATCAGGTGTGCCAGGAGACACACCTGGACCCCATGTCGTCAAGGGGCTACATAAGGAAGATGAAAGGAGTAGTGAAGGGGAAGACAGTGTGTTGTGTTCAGGTTTTTTTCTCACTGCTGGAATGACCCGAGTGATTTATTTTGTTTCTTTGATGGACTAATTAAAATGTCTCCAAAGACACCCTCTGCCTTTTGACTGCTGCGCTGCCATTTATTCACCATCCTCCGTGCCATTACACAAAGGTGATTCATATTTTTGTGAGTAGATGATTCAGTAGTTTCTTTTCCCCTGAGCACCTCCTGACCTCCACGTCCACCTGCCTGTTGCACGCATTGATTGATTGATTGACTTTGTTCATAACATAAAAACAGAATATTTTACAGGTACAAAGTCACTCCTGCTTGTAAGCGATAAATTGACTTTTTGCAACTTTGATCATTCATCAAGCCTCTGTTTTTTATTAGATAAACATTAAAAGAAATCATTCTCTTCTCCTGAACTACATTGATTGATTGTCTCCGAGGCGTTTACTCGGAGACACTGTTTATGTGTTTTGTGTTGTTGACGGGAAATACGAGCCAATAGAATAGAATGTGAGCCAATATATTGTTATTTTTCAAATGTCACGTGTTCACGAATGGAATTGTCATCAATGCGTGTTCAACATCAACCAGATGCAGGAGCGTTTTCCCTCACTGAGTATTTCAATTCAACAAATTTGCCCCCCTCCCCACTTTAAATTCATCTCATAGAACTTTTATCTGTACTGTTTATCTGTACTTAGATGGGGTGTACACATTTACTTAACTTGCACTACAATGATGGTAATAATTTGTTGAATAAGCTTCAAGTGAACATGGTGTGTTTGTGAATAAAGTATAGAGAACAAGTTTCGGATGTTAAAACAAATCCTGTTACATTTTCTGATTTGTATTTTTCTTAATTTTTTTATAAATTAATGTTCAAGGAGCAACATGTACTTTCTGAAGTATTTTTGCAATGTGAATTTGCAGTTCTGTTTTAGAATAAATGGTCGGAAATTAAAGCATTTTAATGTTCTTTAATGAGTAGCCAATTGCTCTCTGCAGTCACCGATTCTATTTGCAGCATTGTGCTAGCAAGAAGGCAAGGATCTAAATTAAGTTATGAGAATGTGTTTGTGATTTGCAGGAACTTTATTACTCCCTGGATGTCACTGTGCACGAACAGATAACAGATAAGACAACTCGGACGTACTACACACACACACACACACAAAACACACACAGGCACAAACCATCCATTTAATGCCTCCACTCTAGATAATTGAGTTTTCTCTCCCTGAACATTTAAGTACACCGCCAAGTAGAGAAGCCCTTCATAAAGCCTTTAACACTCCTTTTACTCCCCTGCTTTTAACCAAGGCAGTGACACAAGAAAGAAGAGTGTTTGACAGAAATGGTGGTCAATTGTTTGGGTGTAAAGAGGAAGTGTACACCAGCTGTTTTGTGTGTCAGAAGAATCAGGTGGAGGAGGAGAGGATGTTTATTACAGCGGCCAGTTTGGTTTGCAGGAAAATAACGAAGACCAAGTTTCCAAATATACGTCGAATGGACACCGTTCCTTGACCTCCACTCAGCCCAGAAGCAAAAGACAATTACTGCATCCAAATCGGAGAGGATCGGAGGCGGTGTGAATGGAGCGCAAGGTGCAGCGCAAATGGTGTTGCGCGAATGAAGCAAGGGCACAAAGCAAAAATTGGCCTCATCTGTCTGGCGAAAGCCAATTAGCGTTGAGGTGCTCCGTCTGCCACCACCGCCATCTTGCTATGCGCTTTTGGTGTGAACGTAGCATATGAGCTGCAAGTTATTTGTTATGAGTTGGGTCCGTGTGCAGCGCTATGCTGAAGGACGTGGCTAGCGCTGACCAAAGATATGGAGTCTATACATAACAATAACATAACACGGGGGGTTTAATTACCAACCAAATTCACAGATTCGATTGACACAATGAATTTGTCCAAGCATCTTGTCTCCCATGTAACTCAGCAATGACATGATTCAGCAAAGAGCGATACACAAAGAGAGATGTGTTATTACAATTCTATCCAGGTCGTCGCCCCTCTTCCTACCAGGAACCATTGCGAAACGGACAGACGGGTTGGCCATCTCCTACCTTTAAGTCCCTCTGCCTGGCATGCTCCATGTCCTGCATGGAGCAGCAGTGGATCTCCTGCAGACGCTGCTGTCGTCTCTGGTGCTCCGTCTGCAGCTCGTCCAGCTGCATCCTCAGGTGCTCTCTCTCCTGGCTGAACTGGTGCTGCAGCTGCTGCAGCGACGACTGCGACTGGGACAGCTGCATCTCCAGACTCTGCTTCAACAGGGAGATCTAGAGAGGAAATAGACGGAATTCAAAATGTTGAGACCCTTACTGGGACAGTTGAAGAAGCTGCTGCTTCCACACCTCTCCATGTACATTTATGTATTTTCTTGTTTAATAAAAGGAAAGCAAATGGGTGAGCCAGAAGTTTAAGGAGGTTTAGGCCGTCTCTAAGGAGCAGCATCTTTGTACAGCAGAATAACGGAGGAAAGGGCAGGCAATCACTTGGGCTTCAATAAAGATTCGCCACATTAGGATTTTTGTAATTCTTTCAAGCCTCGAGCTATAAAGTTTCCTACTTTTTGTGAATAAATTGTGTGAAGTTCACTGCAGTACATAATGAACTCTGGCTAATGGTGTGGTGCAATGAATGTAGCACTCAAGTTCGTTTTGGGGAGGAAGCTGCAGTCACCAAATCAGTCCGCCTCAACGACTTATGATAATGAGTATTTGGGTAAATCTAGTGGTATAAAAGAGTACCCATGTAGAAACTTGCTTTGGCAATACTGTATTTCAATTTGGTGCGGCATGCCGGACGAAGCTTATTTGATGACGAAGCTCAATAAAACGACATGCATTATTAGGAAGACTTATAATGTGCTGACGTGGTGCGAAGTCCCAGATTCCCTCTCAAGTCTAGAAAAACACTTGACAGGGTGCAAAGTCACACAGGGAGAATAACCTTGTCTAACCGTTTAACCCCATGGAGCGAAGTGACAGCTAAGCTGGACTCTAAATAATTCATTTATCAACACTATCTCTTGAAATGTAGCTGGAATAAATGATTTTATCATCATTATTTTGAATGGACTCACACATGGCATTACTTCGCACAACACAGATAAATCATCAGTGAGCTAAAAATGCAGCTCGGTCTCAAAAGCTGCCTCCTAAATTTGGAAATGATATTATGACTAAGACATGAGTCATACAGTCATAGGGTAGGAGAGCTTTATTAAAACAAGAATGTGGTAAAATGTGTTTTATTCTCGTATTACCACGGTAGGGTTTCAAACTGTGAAACGTGTCAGGGTAGTTGCTGTTAGTGATCCAAGTGGGTGTCATGTGAGTACAACGTGATCTCCAAAACCTGTTCGTAAAAATGTATACGAAAATCTTGAACATACAAATTCGTAACAATACATACGAACTGCGGGGGTTATAATACCACGCCCCTTGAGTGAACAACATGGCGGACCATGTCGGATTCCTGAGTGAACGTCTCTCCGCCATGTTGTTGATTTTTTGAGGGGGTTAGGGTTAGTATTCTATTCTTACAAGTTAACATTGATTTCTCGTTATAAATGCAATCATAACACGTTTATTTTACATTGTTAGACTTCACAAAGTGTGTTTACGGGGTGCAGGTCCCCATTCACTTTGAATAGGGTGACGTCATCAGTTGCAGTCTGTATTTATTTCATATGTATCACTACGAATTTGTATGTTTAAGATTTTCGTATACATTTTTACGAACAGGTTTTGGAGATCAGGCTGGTGAGTAGGGTAATGAGTCTTAATATAGGTCTTATGGCCGCTCGCTTGGCCTCTGAGAACCGCCAATCACTTGTAAAGTCCAAGGAAGGGGAGAGTTTGTAAGTAACATTAGCATGGCCTGGTGATAACTGTCTATCTGTTCAACGGCCCTGGCTTATAAAAGCAAAACCTCCTTTTTCAAATCCCAGCTAGAGGTGCGTACCTGTGCGCACATCCCCACTTCACCACATGAACTGCAAATAATGACGACACCGCTATTTGCAAACCGAGTTTGTCCCCTCGCTCGTTTGACGTCAGTGTAAATAAACATGTTCCCGCTGACTGCAAAGGCGTGAAGCACATCAATCACTGGATGGGTGGTGATGGACAGCACGGCGGCGAGCGACAACGCGGCACGCATGGCAATGTGCGTCTCTGTGAGAACGTCGATGATCATAGGAGGGCTTAGTCACGCTTCATTAATATTAGCGGGCGGTCATTAGCAGCAGCTGCCCGCTCTAGTGGATTCAGAGCAGCATCAAATAATGAAAGTGTGAGTGGGTTGGCCCACCAGTGTGAGGGAGATATAAGTCAGCCTGGCCTTGCAGGGGACAACAGGAGCTTTGAAGGGATGCAGTTTGTGTCATTGCCTTTCAAATTCTCTCCCTCCCTCCTCATTGATTTTCTTAGTACTGGTATAATTACATATTCGACTACAAGGCAGGCATCTGGTATTCACAGCCAACGTTATGCATTAAACCTCTAGCATCATTGACTGCACCTCCACTTATCATCCGTGGTGCAATGTCAATAGGAACATTACTTGTGTTTATTACAACTTTAAGGTACTTGTGCTCTAGCAAATGTATTTCAATTCTATGCTACTTAATACATCACTATATTTCACGGGGAAATATTCTGCTATTCACTCCACTACGACTTAAGTCTGATTATACAAAATCTAGATCTACTCCCTCGCCGGAAGCTTCTCATTTGTTTTTCATTCTAGAGAAAGACTGAGAGGGCCGGTCAACAAAACACATGCACACATACACACACACACTGCAGTGCACAGATCCGTTGGCAGTAGTGGTACCTGTTCCAGAAGGTCCTCCACTTTCCTCTGCCAGCTCTCCCTGGCGCTGCTCATTTCTTGCTCTTTGCTTTGTGCCAGCTGACTCAGCGCAGAGGCCTTGTCCTCCTCGTGGTCCTCTCTCAGCTCCTCGCGGAGCTTCTTACACTCCTGCCTGCAACAGAGCAAAACACAAAGATATATCTGTATTTGTTTTTTTTCAGGTACATGGCTAATGATCGAGAGTGATTCACCAAAACAACAAAAAACGCTGGTCAGTAGCTTTACATTTAAATAATCAACACAACCAACACCAATGTGATAGAATGCTCACAAATGAGTGACGTGTCTGTAAAAGACACACCAGTGAAAGACAGGAAGAACGCAAGGTGTCTTCCAATTGGGTGATTGGCGGATCCCCGTCCTCCCAGGGCATATGTCGTGTACTTGGGCAAGACACTGAACCCCAAGCGAGAGTACCACCATCTGACATCCGTTGCACGTCAAGTAGTGTTGCTATGGAAGGCATCGGGGTGAGGCGAACACTGTTACAACAGATTTGCCCTGTTCAGCCCATTTTGCTGCAGGCTTCTAGAGGGAGGAGTGAGTGGAGGGATGTTCGGCTTGTTGCGGTCTGAATCCACACAGGCAGATGCCACTAAATCCTACACACTGTCCCTTTAGAATGGTCTGGATTAGTTCATAGCAGATTGTATGAGAAATATCTGACTCTACTTAACGCGCCACTATGTTCACCAGCTGATCCCTAGCTGTGTCGGTTTCAACTGTGGTTGTTACATCAACTGTGGAGCTGTGGATTACAAAACCAAAATCCTGCATGATGAATTAAGCGTAAAGTAGATCAGATGTGGACTACTGATTGTTCTCTGTGGCCTTATTACTAAGTGTGACTATTTTTACTAATAGTCATTATTAGAAAAAAAGTGATTTTGTTTTTTGAGCAAGCTACAAGTTTGTGGATGTATGTACTGCATACATTGAAAACTTGAAATCTAGTGACCAATCTAAAATGTTATGATTTGTTACAAAGTAATTAGGATTTACAGTCAATGAGCTTGTCTTAGGAAGTTGTCTTTCTATTAGGCAAATTTGGCACGTGAGGTTTAGTTACAGCTCACACGCATAGCAACAATATCAAGGGCAAAAAATAGACCAAAAGATCTGCAAAACCTTGCAACGGAGGTAAAGTTGCTTCAGGGAGCTCCAAATTTTCTTCAACAATAAATGGTCCATTATACACTCAACATTACATTTCCTGAGCGGCCATGACTCTTTAACGCTGCCGCTAACAGCTTCCTGCGTGGCTCTCTGTGTGTGTGCTGTCATATAAGCGCTGTGTGGGAGTTAAAATGGCAGCTTTTAAATGAAGTATCAAGGCTTTTCTGACACTTGTGAGAGCCAGAAAGTGTCAAACTGAACGCGGGCTCTCTCTCAGAACCAAGCTGACACATACACACACACACCTACAGTGACATTTGAGACGGTCATTCATCATGCAGTGCATGTCATTTGTGTCCTTGTTCTACATAAAGCATTCCGTTGATGCGCACACACACACACACACACACACACACACACACACACACACACACACACACACACACACACACACCTACACGGAACCAAGAGCCAACACCAAGCTAACAAACACACACACACACACACACACACACACACACACACACACACACACACACACACACACACACACACACACACACGTACTCTTACTCAAGATAGCCCACCAAGCTAAGAAACACACACACACACACGCACAGACACCGACAGGTACATACAGCCCACTTGGTATCTCAGATTGTTGTGTCTATGCACACACACACACACAGACACGCATTTGCACGGACTTTGGCTGATGGGCGCACACACACACACACACACACACACACACACACACACACACACACACACACACACACACACACACACACACACACACAGGGCTTCAAAAGAGCTCTGGTATTTCTGATAAGCGTTGGTCTAGAGCACGGCAATGAGAGATGGCAAAGGTAAAGGTAGGACAGAGTGGATGAACAAACCGTCAAAGATAGAAGAAGAAATATCCTGATGAAATGTGGGTGATTGGCTTGATTCTCGTGCCTGTGCGCTGAGATAAAACATACACCAGCTTACAGTTTTTCTCGATTGTTTACACACATTTTCTGAAAGAATGCCTCATATTCTCAGAACTCTACACACAAATCAAAAAACACACACACAATGGGCAAAACCTCTCAATTCTTTTAAAACTTTTCATTCAAAACAATGTTATTTCTTCTTAAAATGGTATTTTGTTTTCAAATGACAAACACAAACCATCATATGAATAGAAGTTTATAAGTGAGACGACTCGAAGAGACAGTGAAGATTAACTTCCTGTTTTTATTTTTGTAACCACGGCACTTCCTGTATCTAGTTTCTCACCCTTCGTTTCTCCCCACAGCTGAGTTTAGTTTGCAATCACCTCCACCTGTATTTAAGCCTCAGTTCCCCACTTGTCTGTGTCAGGTTATCTTTTGTCTTTCCTAGAGGTGCATGTTTGTAGTTGGAAATTCCCAGTGCTGTTTTTGGTAATCTTGTTTGTACTTCGTTTCCAGGCTCTCTTCCTTTTTGTTTCTACAAGAGCGTGTGGATTCCGCCTTTGCCTGTGCACCCTTTGTCTTGCATTAGTTTATTTTCCTAGTAAAAGATTCCAAACCTGGAAAGAAGTTTCTGTTGCCTTACTGCTCTGAGTCTAAGTCCTGACCCCTCACAATATAAACCAGTTGAATACTGATGTGCTCAATGTAAAACACTATGATGAATGGAAAACACTTCTTATCCATTCATCATAATGACTTAGGCCTTTTGAGAATATGGTTTTTATACTCACAAATACACGGTAACAAATATATTTTATTTTTCCCACAAAAACAATATACATAGTGTACATTCCATTCCCAACCAACACAAAGTTGTACATACACTAGATACAAAAAAACAATAATTTACTGTACACAGTTACAGTAAAAAAACAACTGCTGCATGTTGAGAGTATGCATCAATTGTGGGACTCACTTGCACATAGTTATATCGCAATTCTTTGACTCTTTCTGAATTGCGTTTAAATGGCACCCTGTAGACCTGCTTCATCCTGAGATAATTTCTGCACAAGACACGGTCCAGTGTTGATGAGCTTACCCTATCAATATTTTAATGTTTTCTATTTTTTTTCTTTGTATTTGCTGTAATGTTATGGCGTTGTTTTCTAGGACCATGTTTATGATTTCAATTTCCTGTTCAGGAGACAGAACACGTTCCCGACCACCTTGTGTTGGTAATCTTCAGTTCTGCCAAACAAATAGTAAAATACTGTAATTACAAAGTAGGTATACATTTCCGAAATACTTGAAACATACTTTACAGTATTTTTACACTCCTACAGAACAGTCCACAGGCAATACTGTACTACTGTACTCATTGAGTACTGTATTGATATGCAATACTGCAATTTTCTAGTGAGTAGATTTCCTATTCTCATTTCGGAAAGTCCGGATGATGGATGCTACAGTGTACCTGCTCAGATATGGCTGTACTCTTTGCCCAGCCTCCCTCATTGTTAGACGTTGTGATGAGTCAGAGTGCATATTTGAATGGCAGTGTGTTCCTTGTGAAAACAAGATATTTTCTGCATGAAAATTGTACCAAAAGCAGAGAATTGTGTGTAGTGTTTTGAAAAAAGCGTGTTTTAGAACTGCAATTTGAGTGCAAAGCAGGAATTGTGCTTGTAGTTTAGCAGAATTGGTTCAGGGGGTTGGTGAATGAGTTACATGTTGTGGTCATTGTGTCTCAAGTACCAGAATTTGAGAAAAAACAATTAAGAAAAACTGTATTGAAATTCCTGTAATGTACTGTATGCGTGATTATACATAGTGGCCCGACCGCATTTGTAGGTAATAACAAAATAAATTCAACAAATAAAACAAAAATGCCAACAACCATTCATTATCTCATTATTATTTCATTTTAGACGAGGCGCGGTCATGCAGGCAGCAGGCTAAGTAGTATAGTCCAGAGCTCGCCCCTCCTTCTCCTCTCCTCCAGCCGAGCCACCTCACCAAGGAAGCGCATTGTCGTCACAGCGGTCTCATTCTTTCACGCCACCATTTAGAGATCACATGTATGGGTTGGAACGTAGATGGACCTGTATGTAAAGAGTTTTGCCTTTTGTTTCCCGTTCCTTCTTTCCTTCTTTAAAGCCTGCATTGTCCATCCATCTCATGTTCCATTTTGCCATCATGCTTGAGCAGGACTCAGTTATTATTTATTCTGGCAGAGAACCGCGGCCTCACGCATTGCGGCTACTGACCCAATGCTGAAGGTCTGTGTTTAATTGTGTATATGATCTGGGCCCATCATTAGCTTCATCACTACCGGGCAACAACTCCATCTGGAGTGTAAGTAAGAAATGTATGTACAATTAGTCTACAACTATTAAATAATGCTCACACTTCTCACAATTTTCAGAAGTTCTATTCAGTGCCTGCGGCAAATACGTTGCATCAATTTTATTTTCATTCATGTTCCTGAGCAAATACATCTCTGATTGTGGCTGGAGACTTCCTGCAAGTGGACCTTGTGCTTTGAATTTTCTTTCAGGACTTGTACTGCCGTTGTTAACCTCCATCCATTCGGAGGAGATACACAAAAGAATGAGCAAATTATGTATTGCGGCAATATAGTTCTACTTTCAAGAAGAGTTTTCAACTGCTAATCGAGTTCAAAGTTACACTGTTCAAAAAAATGCTTTTCTCAAACACCCCAACAGGATGAGAGCTACTGTGTGAGCTACTGGGATCAGTTGCTGAGGAATACAGTTTTTACATACTCTTAGACACAAAATATTTTCATGTCACACGATTTTTGAAACCTCCGACTCAAAGTGCGAAACTACATGCCAAATCTTCAAAAACCATAAGCTATTTCTCAGCCTTTGACTCAGTTTTCAATTGCATAAAACACTTTTTTCAAAACACACTACACACAATTCTCTACCTAAAACCAAAGATTTATCAGGAAGTGACTTGCTTTCCTTTTCCAAACACAACCAATCAAAATGCTACACTTATTCACCAGGTCACACAGACACACTCCTCACATGTGCAAACACTAATTGCTTAACTGATCATTAACTAATCACTGCTTTAGTGGGCCTATAAATAGGGACGTGGCGTGGGGGTAATAAAACCATGTGTGCTGCCATCACTCAAAATGGGGTCCTCCATCACAATGCCACACTGGGTCCATACAACACCGGCCATATACTCACTTTTCTGGATGAAATTCACTCAATGCTTGTCCCTGATCCAGATCAGGCGTCTGCTAGATTTGTGGTTATATGGGACAATGTTAGTGTTCACCGGGCTGTTGTGGTCCAAAACTGGTTTGCCACCCATCCACAATTTGTAGTTTTGTACCTACCCCCATATTCACCTTTTCTAAATCCCATAGAGGAATTCTTCTCAGCCTGGCGCTGGAAAGTGTATGATCGCCAGCCCTATGCCCGCATGCCGCTTCTCCAGGCATTGGAGGACGCATGTGGGGACATAGAAGTTGCCTCTCTCCAAGGTTGGATACGCCATGCTAGGAGATAGTTCCCTCGATGCTTGGCAAGAGAAAACGTATCTTGTAATGTGTGGACGAAGTATTGTGACCAGACCCAGCTCGGAGAAGAGATGAAGCTTAGCACTGGGGACTGCACCCCCTCTCCCCCCCTGCCAATTCCTCGACCGGAATCCCACACACAAATTACTGTATTCTACTGTAAAGAATATCACTTCACTGTAGAACATTGTATTGAAATGTAGATATAAGCCTATGAAAGACCAAAGAGCTTTAGATTTAGAACAGCAGTATTTACATGGTATATCCCAAAATGTATTATTATGAAAGAAGTGTTTGCCATTTGATGCAAATGCTTCATTTTGACATGTGTTTATGGTATTTTGAATGCAGTGTTGCATTTTGAAGGAGATGTGAGGCATTTTGCATTTTGTGTGTGCAGTTTTGAGAATTGTGTGTAGAGTTTTGAAAAAAGGAGACTTCGTTTTGAAAGCAGTTGGGAAAAACTGTAACACAACAAGGTGAGGGACAGTAATTTAAGGCTTACTTTGTCAATATTAATATCTAATCATCGGCAGAGCAAAAAACTTTAGACACATATTCCGTGCAAATATCCCTCCACTGAGTCTTCTTGCACAAACTCAGCTCTGCGAGTGGCTCTACTGCGAAGGTTGGATCACCGCGGGTGTTTCCTCCGCTGGGGATCATGAGTGTCTCTACGCAATTTCAGGGCATTTTTCCCTCCAACACGTTCACCATCGCTGTCTTTAGATCCACCGCGCCGGGGACGACACTCATTTACCAATTCACAGCCACTGGCCAAAGAGGCAATAGGTTCCCCAGCACGCTCAACAAGGACTTCTGAATGACCAGGACAAACTGGCGTGCCGCTGCCTCAGTCTGCTGATCGGCCACCAACATCCTCTGTTCTTTTGGTAATCCGGAGAGCTCTTCCTATGATTACGCTATCACAGAGAAAACGGAGATTAAAGGAAGCCTTCTTAATTCAGACGGCTCACTAACTAGTGTACTCACCCCAACAAATGAATAGAGGTCCTCCTGGGAATTAAGAGCAGGGTGCAGGAAGACAAAGGAAGGTGAAGAAGAGACGGAGAGAAGGGGAAAGAGTGATCCATAAGACCACGCTGGTACGCTCTTATCTCTACAGTACGTGGACCACTGCTTTCAAGATCCTTTTGGACCCCTTTCTTATACATGCTCCTTTTTCAAAACCCCTAAAAAAACAAATCTAAAATCTAGCATTTCCCATCGCCAGGAGAGCAGAAAGAGGGTTTAGTAAACACTGAATATGTTTATTTTCTTTCTGAGTATCTATTTTAAACTCTGAAACCAGAACCGGTGGTGCTTGGAACATGGGGAAAACTAACAAAGAGGGTTTTTTTGTGTGTCAGGTTTGAATAAAGTGTGTTCCTAATAATTGGCTACGTACAATTTACTGCTTTCTGGTCAGCTGGATTTGAGGAGAGTCAATTAATTTGAATCATTTTACATTCCCCTCTTGTTTTTATTTATTACATATTCTCATCAGTATGCATTGCATAGCACCAAAAAAGTGCCTGTCCTTCCAGGTTTCATGTTTCCATCACTAGTGATCCCCAGAATCAATGCAATATTTTGCATTAAAGATGAAAGGCAGATGTTTTTTGTCCAGTGGGAGCAAGGCTGTATTATGACTGGGATTTGTTAGTGCTTAACTTTGTATTGGCCACAGTCAGAGTGTCAGCACGGCAGACAGAAAATTAGAACAGTCATTCTCTAATCTGTCTATGATGCAGCCATTTATAGTCATTATTGTCACACCATCATTTTCACTCTTTTGCATTTGGTCTTTGTCACTTTGAATTCATGATGCTCCCTGCTGCTTAAAACGGTAAAAATATTAAGTATAAAGCAGGTGGAAGCAGCCAGAAAACACAGCCAGATTTGGATGATTAGTGAAGTCTGTCTCTGGGAGGAAAACTTGCTACTTCTAGGGAGTTATATAAAAAGAAAACAACTGTCTGGAGAGAGCCTGCTGACAGATTTAGGTTGTGATGATTCCCAAGGTTCTTGACACTCATTGGTCTTCTTTTCTTTGTTTTTTGCATCTGCCTAAACTTGGAAAGGAGATGATCATGATGCCAGTGTCGATAATAAAATACAACATGTATCACCAAAAAAGAATTTGGTAGCACATGATGACAGAAAACTGCCCATTAATCTTATTTTCCATTATTTCTATATCAATAAACAAGAGCTCATAGACACAGCTAAAATCCAATAATGGTTTATTACATGTATTTGTTTCTTTCAATTTTGTGATTAAATAACTATGATCAAGATATGAACTTGTAAAAGATAACAGTTTCACCCTGACACAAAAGAAAATAAGAAGAGGAAAAAGGACCTGGTACCAAAAGAGAGATGAGCCGGACCGTGCGGCGGAGATAAGTAGCAATTCTAGGTCAGGGGTCAAGTGTCTTGTGATCATTCTACCTCCCAAAAAATAGACACCACAGTTATGTTTGTGGTGCTCAAAAGATTTTTTAAATGAGATTAAGAATAATACTTTAACTTTATGTAGCGCTTTTCTAAAAACCTAAAGACGCTTTACATAAGGCATAGACAGACGGAATAAAACTAATTCTATAGCGAGTTTCCTTTTGCAGAAAGAGTGGCCCAGTTACCCTGGATTATCCAAAGACCTCCCTATGAACAGCTTCCACTGGAACTTCTTTCAACTCCAAAAAAACAGCCCTGGTGAAAACAGATGACAGTGCGTTCTGTGGATTATCCTGAGTAAGTGGGACACATTTCCTCATTTTCATGAACAGACCCTGGTGCAGTTTTTTAAAACTGTTTAAGCCATGGATGTGGTCACATGCAGGTCCTAATGTACACCAATTTCTAAATAAATATTTGTTTTAGGCGTGTGCCTACTTTAAAGCAACAAGTTCCGATACCACCTCTTCAATACTATGAATTAGATACAACAGATTTTCCTTTCCAAATTTCCTTTTTAGTTTTTGGAAAATAGCATTTCAAAAGGTAAACGGACTGTACTTGTATAGCGCTTTTCTAGTCTTCCGACCACTCAAAGCGCTTTAACACTACATGACATCATTCATACACTGATGACAGGAGAACCATACACAGTGACACCTGCACATCAGCAACTAACAATCACACACTGTAGTCGCAGCTACAGGAGCAATGTTGGGTTAAGTGTCTTGCCCAAGGACACATCGACATGCGGGTTAGCAGAGCCTGGGATCGAACCGACAACCCTCTGATTGGAGGACGACCATGCTCCCCACTCACCCACAAGGTCTGTGGATTGTTGTTGGAAAAACTGAAATAAGCCTCGATCAATGACTTTGTACGTGTGTCAATGTTTCTTCTGCTTGCAAGTATTATTTAATAAACGTCCGGTTTACTGATTTTACACCAGTGGGGAGTAACAATTTTTCTAACAATTGTTAACGTTGAATTTAAGAGACTCCAGAGCCCTTAAAGGACACTGCTCTTTTCACCATCAATATTGCAAGCTGGATGGGCTGTTAATGTGTGTGTGTTCTATGAAGTGTGAGAAACAAAAATAGAGGAAAGGAAGACTTCCAATTCCAATCCGTTTTAAATTACATGGTCTGTCACTGTTGAAAGAAAACGCCATGGCTGTCACACATATACACATATGTGTGCGCGCGCACACACACACACACCCGTATACACGCACTTACCTGAGTGTTTCGGTCCATTTGAGCTCTAGCTCCAGAGCCATTTTGTCCATCTTAAGTTTTTCTTCTTCTTTGGTGGTGATGAGTTTGGCTTCATGCTGACGCTTTTGGATCTCTAACTCTCCCTGTGAAATAAACAGACAGTCGGTCAAACTGGGACAGACGGACGGACAGTCAGACTTCAGGTTGTGTGCCAGATTCAAATCCTTCAGGCACCTCTGAATACTTTTTGGAATAATGCTGCCAACAGTCAACCCAAAAAGTTGCTATTGGCAGTGTCAATCCCAAAACAGGTCACATGGAAGTCCTTCATAAAACCCACTCAGTTCAAACACCAAATCTATAATGCAGGACTGAAAGGATTTGAAAATAAATTGAAGCGTTAATAACCAAAACACAAAAAATAATATTGTCATTTATCAAACAAAAACACCAATTGTTTACATAATATCCGGGTCTATTTCTTTTCTCTGCTTCATTTAGTTGAAAATAGAATATTGTTGGTTTTGAACTGGGAACTTTCACCATTTAATTGACTAATTGGCTAATTATTGACTAATTCAATTAGAAGTTACAAGATAATTGTTTTTATATCTTTAGTAAGCGCCAAACTAAAGTGTGAAAAATCCCACCAACAAAAGACACAATATGAGAACTAAGGAGGTTATTTCATAGATGGTTGAATCAATCCGAATACTAAGTGTGAGTTTTACACTGTGAGGATTTCTTGGAGAAGTGAGGACTTTTGTCTCCTCCTCACTTCTCCAGTACAGAAAAAACAACAGTGTCAGCGTTTGTTCGTGGCGACCTGGAGTGCAGTCAGCAGGTTGCTGGTCTCCCTCAGTCGGGCCCTGGTGGCGTCCAGCTCCTCCAGCAGCTTGTCCTGCGCCTCTTTCAGTGTGCAGATCTGTCCCTCAGCTTTCCCAATGTCCTGCTCTCCCTGCTGTACGCCCTCCTGCAGCCGGAACACCTAGGGGGAGCAGAGAGAATAAAAACTACATTCACAAACCTCACGGGCTGTGTCTCAGAGTGGCAGCCACCTCGAAACGGCACCAGCATTTTAAGCTCAGCGAGGTGGAAGCTCCATCAAAAATGCATTGCTGACGTGGCAACATAGGTTTGCAATTCATCAGATCTTACTTCACCTCGCCTTAGAGTGCACATACAACATACAATAAATAAGAAGCGGCAGCGGGTTTGTACACAGGAAAACAAAGCTTTCAAGGCCCAGGGACCCTAAACAAATAATTTTCTCTCTCCACAAAAAAAGCAATACTACTAATACTAAGTAATATTGACTAAGATTAAATATTATTTATGTTTCTCCAACAGCTTGTCACCAGTTTTCAGATTGCTTTTCCTTTATTTGAGACTGAAATAATTCAGAATGGACTGCTGCTGATTGTTGCCACCAACTTGAATCACATTTATATAGTGTTTGTTATTTTCGGTTGCCGCTTTTTTGGCAACACACCTCACTTTTATTAGCTCATGCTGAGATGTTGATCTGTGTCTTAAAATAACTTTCAGTATGGATTTCTGGAGCTTAGAGAAGCGGTGTTGGTTGTGTATCATAGATCACCCTGGTTAAAGTGAAAATCAATTTTCATTTTAACATGAATTCAAATCAGTTGATAGAATCAATTTATCCCCTATCTCTAATCTGAAGTTGCATATAAAGGATATACTGTTGGGGCGACTGTGGGTCAGTGTTAGATTGTCCTTTCTTTAGGGTTGTCTTTTTAAATTTGAGGATAGTGGTTCCCTGCCTTTGCCAGTCCATGCTGATGTGTGGTCCCAAAGGCCATACTCATAACCCCAAATGGGTTTGAATGGGTAGTTTAGACAGGGGCTACCATGCAATACAGTCTCTGACATGAGTGAATATGAATGGGGGAAGGATGACATGTAGTATTAATGCGCTTTCAGGAATCAGGAAACATTTATTGCCATAATATGTCAGACATACAAGGAATTTGACTTAGCGGTTGGTGTGTAACAGCAGACAGTACGACAGTGGACGACAAGACAACAGTGCACAAGGAATAAAATAAAATATAATGCTATGGGTTAGTATAAAAATAAAGGAACAAAAGTTACATTAATAAATCATCAGTTCTGTCCAGCCAGAAAAAACTCTGTCACTAGGGCCAATTAAATGCAATAAACAAATCTCTATGGATCGAGTGCAGTATACTGACGACCAAATGAATGAATGAATTTATTTTAGAGTAATAAGAATATCATAATTTTCAAGATTAACGCTGTTGTGTATCACGGTGTAAGGGTAATAAGTGGTTTTAAACATGCACAATAAGAGGTAGAATGTAAGGTTTCCGGATAATCTACCTCTGCGCTGGCTGCGGCGAGTTTGGAGTTCAGCTCCTCGCTCAGCTCGTCCAGCTGCTGCCTGAGGGTCGTCTTCTGCTCCTCCAGCGAGAGGCGCTCCGTCTCAAACTGCTGCTCCAGCTCCTGAGGAAGCCAAACAGAGACGCACACCTCATAAGTTAGTCAGCAGGGAACTTAAAGCTAGAATGTGAGCCTTTTCCATGTAAATGATCATCCGTCACATTCAAACCGTCTCAAAATGAGGTCACACTTCGTTGTCATGGAGAGCTTTCTTGTGGAAGTTTTGGTGTAAGAGCCAATGGGGACAGGAACTGAGGGGGTGACCTCAGCGACGAAAGCTGAGGCGCAAATAGTGTCCATGAAAAGTTACTGGAGTGGACGCTCAAGAAAATAGAACCTCTGAATTACTGAGAAACTCAGAAAGAAGACTGAAAAGGAACGCTGACCTGCAGGCAGATGTTATTGGCAGAGTGACTGTCACTGCAAAAAATTGGGGGTGAGATAAATATAAAAATTCTGTGACTAAATCAGTCGTACAGCTTTTACTGGATTTTAATATTATTCCTGGTAATTGGCACCTAGGAAGAATCTAGCATGGGTAAAAACAGGAGGTGGGTGTGCTGGAGGCTCATGCTGACGCACTGGAAAGAATCATCTTCACAATGAAGATGACGCACAACAAAAATCCTTTACATATGTATAGTCATCCCTCAGATGTGCTGCAGACCCGAACCTATCTATAAATACGTCCAGCTATTTCATTGTCCTTGGTGGAGACCACGAACCATGATTAAGCTTATTACGCCTTCGGATGAGTGGGAAACGGTTTCTGTTATGGCGTGCAATGATTGGTGCCATCCAAGGACAGTTAGAGTTATGGGAAATAGCTGAAATGTCAAATGAAACCGTTATTTATTACACAGGAGGATGAAGTTTGTGATGAAAAAACAATCAGCGTATTGACGACTATGTTACATTAAAAAAGATCTACCTTCTCCGAAATTCCTCTGAATGGGAGAAGGAGTAAAAATCACAGAATCACCACGTAATGACATCTTGTATTTAATCAGCCGTGGACTCTGTTTCAAATGTGAACACAAATATGAATCCATAAAACAATTTGCTATAATTTGGTACAAAGAAATCACAGATTGGCCTCAAAATGATCCAGTTTGTAGAAGTCAACTTCTTCCAACACTTTTTTTCCCCAACAACCAGCTCTCTATTGTGGACGTTAATAGTTTCAACTCTCTTATGCAACCCTAAAAAACAAGAATGTGGCCAGTACCTGCACACCTCTGGGCCACGATGAAGTCTCAAGCTACATCAAGATCTCGCTGATCTGCTGTCCGCCTCAAGGCTCTCTCCCTCTCACATCCCCACAAAGGCTTTCATTGAGACTACTCCTCGCTTGAAAATCTGGATTAATACGTAAGGTGACTTCCAATAGTGCGACATTGAGGACATTGGTCGATTAGCAAAAACAGATGGGGAGGAATCTAATATGAGGCCTGAGGACTGCGGTCACACACCATATGCAGGGCTACAGCGGGGCGACGCAGACTATTCAAAAAACGGCCTTCTCACAGACTACTCTCATTCAATTTACATCGATGAAAAGAATAGAGGTGATGAAAGGAAAGATGATTAACTAGACATGGAACTAGAGTCAAATGGAGGGATGAAGAGTCATTTCTTTTTCATGTGTCTGCCACCCCGATTTTGCAGAAAACCATATTGAACCAAAGCGAGTGACTGAGAGGTGAAGGAATTCTGCCTCCTCCCTGTCACTCATTCAATGGGTACAATTCTGCCCCCACGATCACAAGTGAACAATGGGGAACTAATCAGCACACAGTATGGAAAAGACCATGGAAATCACACAGGGCCAGGAAGTCTACTTATGGAGTGTAAGATGAACTACATAGCACTCTTCACTTGAAATAGCTGCTCACTATGCAACCTTGACGCAAGAGAATATTCAATCAGTTGTGTGACTGGAATAAAGTCACACATGGCCTCACGGGGCATATTAGGCATATTTCAGGCTGGTGGCGCTGCAAATTAGTGGTATGGGCCGTAGATTGGAACAGGTAGACCTCCGGCTCATCAAACAAGTCCCGTGGCCCGGTTTGTCGTCCTCAGGGGGGGAATCACACTGCTTCTCATCAGATACAAAATCCGTCGTGAAACCGGATAAACTTGCAAATGTAAAGACCAGGCACAAAAGGGACATTGTTTTGTTGTCAGTCAGTGGGGTTATTAGAATCAGGACGAGAGCTATGAAACGGGCCTGACCCTACATGAACCCATCTGACCTTTCAAGCGGCATATTTTGACATTTGTGACAAAATCTGTGACACGGACCCCCCCCGCCCCCGAATGTTCAGCAGAGCCCAGCATACATACATATGTGTATATACACTAGGGCTGGGGATGTTATGGGGTTATAAATAAGATAACAAAGCAATCCATTAACTATGACAATGATATGCGTTTTTCTTTTTGAGCATTGGGAGGGGCTTAACACTGCTGAGATAGTGGGGAAAGGTCCTGCACTTTTAAATGGACATTTTGATTTTAATTCTCTTCATTAGTGAGAGTCGGGAGTACGTTCAAGTCCGCTGCAGTCAGTTACAGGATTTTCCCCCAGCAGACATAAATGGAGCCAGTGAACAAAAGGCACATACAGAAAAAGTTGAGTTACAATGAAGAGAACACATCTGTCTGTTGTCATGAATATAACTACGACAAATGCAAAAGCATTCAATAATGTTGAAATATTTGGGCTAGGAAGCATTTAAATGTGAATCCAAAACAAAGAACAACAGCCTGTGAAAAGAGAACCAACACCTCTGTGAAACTGTACCAACCGCTGCAGATTACGTTATGGGAATGTGATGCTGTGTAAAACAGCTTCTGGCATCTGCAGACTTCAGGTTGTTTTCAAGGTCCATTCTAGGTAAGATGTTCATGTTAAAGGTGCTACACACAAGATTGGAAGCATTTCTACCGCCTTTCAACATGGCAACGGCTCAGCCGTCAGCTCACAGTTAAAAGTGCTAAGAGCGCTAATACAGCGCAAACAGCGTGCTGCCATGTTAGGGTTGTGACACACTGTGCTAAGTAAGTAGTAGTAAAATATTTAGGGTGAAAGTTTTAGAAAACAGACACACACACTTGTATCAGTTGGCTCCCACATTCTAATCCCTCAGCTCACAAACTCACATTGATGTCTTTTAGCATTCCATCATCTTGTCCTACTTTTGATCACTTCACACACTTAATGTTTTAAACTTGCCGTTTTAGATTGCCATAGTATAATAAAGATTTTCAAATTGAATAAGTCATATAGTCATTTGCCTTATTTTAATTTTAAACAAATTATGGGGTGGAGAAGTGTCCTTCTGCACACGTTTTCTAAGATCTCTCAGCGTGCATTCGCCACACTCCTTCACGCGCGTGGGTACTGGGTTACTCTAATTTAGTACATTACTGTTTTCTGCACACCAACAGCACACCAGAACAGTTGTGTGCCTTAGCATGTGAAAAGAGTAGTGAATTTACGGATGTCCCAAAAAAAGCCCGTCTGAGCTTCTTATCAGCTGCGTGAGTCATGAGGTGAGCAGATTGTTCACATGTGGCTTTTCATTGAGAATTTATTAGGGTCCTCGCTACGACTAGTCGGAGAGGAACCTATTGTATTTCATGGAATTATTATTTTCGCTAAGGAATTTTCCCTTTTTAAGGCCTTTATCATATTCAAAAAGTTGTTAGATTTGGCACGCATATCAGAACTGGTGAAAAATTTGATAATTTTGGGGTCTCACATTTGGGTACGAAGAAATGTCTCCATAGCGCCCCCTAAAAAGGTAAAAAAGTACCCCACTAGGCCAGTTTCCGCCCCCGATGTCTGATTGACTTGAAATTTGGCACACATGTGCTTTTGGACATGCTCTACAAAAAAGTCAATCATGGTATGCAAATGCCTCTCACGAGATTTTCTGCCATTTTGAATTTGATGAAAAACACGTTTTTGCCCATTTCTCCTAAAAGCTATGTCTGATTGTGACAAAATGTTATGTGGATTATTATTGGGTCAACGCCCTCCTGCCTTATCAATATCTTGTTGATAGCTTCTTGTTGAAGAAGATATGGGCTAATGAACTTGGGTGTGGCTTAATCTGGCATTACTCCTAACTTATAATATAAGATAACTTATTATAATAAGATAATTTGGCCTGCCCTCACGAAACTTGCCCCCTGATTTTTTGAGAATATTTGAAGAAAAGGGGGCGCTGCAATTAGTCATTGAAAATCTTTTTGGCCTATTTTTGGCCTATTTTTGTGATTTCCTAGAGTTGTAAAAGACCGAACTCCTCCCAGGGATTAAACCTGATTCTTTTCAAATTCGCGCAGTGTGATCTCGAGGACCTAGGCTCTAAAAATTGCATTTTGCCAGAAGAAATTCGAAAACTATGTGTGTAGGGAGCATTTTCAAAAAAACACCATTCGGCATGAAAATTGAAGTTGTTTTAACTCAACCATACTTTATCTAATCTGCTCCATATTTCTCATATAGCATGAACTTCTCACCCTGTAGACATCCATATGATCATTTTTAACCTTAGTCATAGCGCCACCTGGGGAAAACAGGAACTTGAATGTTTTACACCCTGCTCCTCACAGGTTATGGTCCACAAAGGTTGGTCCACAGAGAGGTAAGATCTTGATAACGCTTCACTGTGAATATTATAAGAATCCGATAATTGGTGGCGAAAGGGTGCATCTGCAAAGTTGATCCTTCGCCAAGAACAACTATACCGTTGTAACTCTACTCCACATCATTGGATTCTTTCCAATCTACACATGTTTGATCAAACATGTCAAGTCATAGCTCCACCTACTGGTAACAGGTAGTCAAATTTTCTAGTATCCAGTAAAAAACAAAGGTGGCATTTTGAGAGGCATCAAAATGTCCTGGTTATCTCCGAGCGACACCTTGGGGATGTGTACTATGAACCTGAATGGAAATTATCATGCAACTAATGATTGTTACCTTTTTAATTTAATCTCAAATTGACCAGACGTGGTCTTGTGATTGAGATTTGGGCTCATGTATGGTATTTTGAGAGGCTTTCATTTTGGAATAGTACATCAGAATGTCCTGCTTATCCCTGGGTGACACCTTGGGGATGTGTTCTATCCTTCTAAAGTGAAATGATCATGTAACTATTGATAGTTTCCTTTGAATTATACCCTGAAATTTACCAAATGTAGTCTTGTGAAGGATTTTGAAAGAAATTGGCTCATGTATGGTATTTTGAGAGGCTTTTATTTTGGAATAGTAAATCAGAATGTCCTGCTTATTCCTGGGTGACACCTTGGGAATGTGTTCTATCCGTCTAAAGTGAAATGATCATGTAACTATTGATAGTTTCCTTTGAATTATACCCCGAAATTTACCAAATGTAGTCTTGTGAAGGATTTTGAAAGAAATTGGCTCATGTATGGTATTTTGAGAGGCTTTTATTTTGGAATAGTAAATCAGAATGTCCTGCTTATCCCTGGGTGACACCTTGGGAATGTGTTCTATCCATCTAAAGTGAAATGATCATGTAACTATTGATAGTTTCCTTGTAATTCTAACCTGAAATTGACAAAAAGTAGTCTTGTGATGGAGAATTTGAAGGAAATTGGCTCATGTATGGTATTTTGAGAGGCTTTCATTTTGGAACAGAACATCAGAACTTCCTGGTTATCCCTGAGTGACACCTTGGGGATGTGCACTATGAACCTGAAGTGGAATTATCATGTAGCTATTGGTCGTTTCCCATTTAAATACCATCTGAAATTGATTAGAAGGCTGGTGAATGAGATTTAAGAGAAGGTTTGGTAATCTATGACATTTCGCGTCGCTCCACGCGGTTAACAACAACTGACTCTTGGATGCTTTGTCCGACGGCCGCAAGAGTTCTTGGCTGCGTATCTAGCTGTCCGGCCGGTGCCCCGGCATGTGGAGTTGCAAGGATTCGTCCAACGCTGCTCGCAGCTTTAATTTTTATTTGCCTTTTTAAAAAAAGAAACTGTAGCATAGCAGTGACGGACAAAGCTTCCAGCAGGTTGCTCACATTTAGACAAGCCCAGCTTATGATGGCTCGCAGGTGTTCTACATGACGTTTATGGGTGATAAATATCAATGTGCTCCCACGTCAGCAGCAGTCGGCCGCCTTTCCTCCTTTGCCAGCTTCTAAGTCACTGTTAGAGTCCCTTTTGATGTTTTTTGTCTGTAGATAGAACATAATCAGACTGCACATTCTTTTGCAGGTATCTGAGCTCCCCCACTTACTATGGCTACTTGTGGTGTTTTTTTTTATATGGCCCTTTTGTGCCGAGCGATTACAAATCCAAACCTTTATTCAGTATGTAAAAGGAATGCTTGTTCACCGAGTCATAGCCTACCTTTGAAAATTGTTGCTGTATTTACTCTTGTGATTGCTACTTGATGATACCGGAGGATGTAAACAAGCATCCGCTTTGGTGATCCTACATCAGAAAGCTGATCAATATTTTGACATTTCCACTATTTTTGCAGATAAAACAGCTGCTACAGCTACACCTGCTAAATTTAGCAAGCATGAGCTCATTGAGCAGGTTGACAGGCGTATTGTATCGTGAAATGAGGAAATCATCTGACTTGCCTAGAATGGAATTTTCCAATAATCCCTGCATTCATATCAAGACATAACGTCTTCTGAAACAATATTTAGACCTTTGGAAAAACTCAAGGCAGAGAGAGTTACAAGCTTTTTTCTTTTTTCTCTTGTAACAGATGGTACAGTCAGCAAACAGTGTGAAGAGCTCAGAGGTTAGAGAAGCAGGTTTGTGACAAGCAGAGTGTCCGTGGGGACGTAAATGAAAGCTGCCCTGTCCTCTAAGAACAATTTCTTTTATTCCAGTGTAATGGTGAATACTTCTCCATCCATACACACACACCACACACACACACACACACACACACACACACACACACACACACCAAAGGACCACGGTCAGTGGTTTGGTGTTGATCAAACTAAAACATATGCGGCCACCGGGACCTCTGTCATCCAAAATCACCACTCATTCATTTACAAATATTGTGTAACATCAACAGATTGAAGCCGTGTGACAGGGTCCAAATCTGTTGGCGGGCGACAAATCCAAAATGCATCGAGAGTGAGAGGAAGACAGCTTGTGTTTTGACTGAGTCATTACTAATTGTCCCACTGTTCAAATTGAATAGGCGAAAGGATTAGTGATTAGTGTAAACTCATAAAAGGGGTTTAACAATGTGTCAGTACTTGTTTCCATCAAATGTAAAGAAGTAGGTGTCTACAACAATCAGATAACTGAAAAAGTGGAGTAAAAAGGTAAAGCTGCACACCATTACCAACAGAAATTCTGTAGAAAACATTTGTTGTTACTATCGGCTCCTTTCATGGTGTGAAAAAGCTTCCCAAGGATACCTTCTTCATGGCTTGAGATGAGCCCCAAGCTCAATGATGCAGCTATTTTTTTTTCCTCCGGCTTTGACCAATAGAGGCTGAAGACGCAGCACTCTGAAAATTGATCTGGTGGATCTTTGTTCATCGCGCCCAGCGAGCTCGCCATGTGATGCACCCTCTGTCCGGCATATCACTGCCTAGCATTTTGACTGCAAGTGTGAATGAGTGGGGTTTGATTAACGACATCATCAGCCCGTGGACTACGGATCTGTCGAATGGGCGAAGGTCCGTCCTGTGTATCAGTTCGGCCTAGTTGTCCACGAACTGATGCGTACGTGTGTACTCACGGCCAGCATGTGGTTCTTTTCCTTCTCTGCGTTGTTGAGAGCGTTCTCCAGGGTCGCTCTGTGTTTTTTGGAGACTTCCTCCAGGGCCCGGGTCTGGCTCTCCTTCATCTGGCTGATCTCCTCTTCGGATCGACCTCTCATGGTGTTCATCTCCTTCTCGTGGGACAACTTCTCCTCACGCAGGGTCTGACGAGGACCAAAAAAAGAATACATATGCATGAGCACATTGAGCAGGTTGACAGATACCAGCCAACATGGTCAGTGCTAACTCACAATCCTTCATTCATCTGTATCTGCATTTTTTTCAAATTCCTTTTCACTTCACATCTATTCTTAAAGCACCAAAACTGCTGCTTAAAAAGAAAATATTGTTTTTGTGGGATTATAGATAACTGACCTCTTGCTAAGCCCTTTTAGTTACTATTGCTACGCTAGTCAAGATGATCACAGTGGTTGATGTTCTCTTGTCTTGGACAAGGTGTTGGAGTTTAAACTTCAACAACATTTGACAAGAACAGCACCTAGCAGCGCCTGTTAGCCTAAAATCTCAAATATGTCGACTTCCACTAAATGAATTGGGCTCACTAATGTAAATAGCTTATGGTTTGCCAACTCTACTCTAGCCTTGTTTGTGAGGGAACAGTACAGCTGACCAGGGCTGCTCTGTGTAGTTATAAATGAACAGTAAATTGGAATAATTAAGAGGATGCTGATGAGTCGTTTGCTACTGACTGGTTTGTGTGTATGAGTAAGAGATGTGTGAACAATGAAGAAGAACAATAGAGGATCGGGCAAGTGAGAATTTGCAACCGGGATCCATATATTGTGTGGGAGACAGAAAGGCAAGAACAAATGCTCTCTGTACTTGGTAACAATGCACTAGGTTTGTCTTTGGAACTCTGGTACGGCATGAGTCGGGGATAAGGTCACAGAAAAGAGTGATGTTCCTACAAAACTGAAAATAAAAATGTAGTATGCGTCCCATTTACTTTGGATTTTATCAGGGGAGCAGCTGTTTCTTCATCGCATGGATTTAGCAAAATTTTAATAAGCCAAACTGCACCAAAGAAGCCATATGGGAGCAGTGATATCCACTTCTTCTGACTTAAGGACGTAAAAGTCCCCCAATGTAAGTCAATAAAAGAATTCCCGAAGATTATCCGACTACTTGAGATATGATTCCAAAATAGTTGCCGATATCTTTTTTCTCAAATCCTCTGCGTACACAACAGACTGAACTGGAAGACCAACATCAACGCTGTCTACAGGAAGGGGATGAGTCGACTCTTTTTCCTGAGGAAGTTTCGATCCTTCCATGTGTGCAGTAAGATGCTGGAGATGTTCTATCAGTCTGTTGTGGCCAGTGCTTTGTACTTTGCCGTGGTCTGCTGGGGGAGCAGCATTGGAGCCGGTGACACCAACAGACTTAACAAACTTGTTAAGAAGGCCGGCTCCATCATTGGCTGCAAACAGGACAGCTTGGAAAAGGTGGTGGAGGGGAGGTCACTGAAGAAACTGCTATCCATATTGGATAATCCTGACCACCCCCTCCACCACCTGCTACAGGGACAGCGGAGCACGTTCTCCAACAGACTCCTTCAGCTCCGCAGTCACAAGGACCGATACAGGAGATCATTCCTGCCCAATGCAATAACACTTGCTGCTATTCCTCTTCTCCTTTTACAAACTATTATTATTGCACTGTCTCTTCTTGAAGGTTATTCTTTTGTTTTAGTTTAGTTTATTTAATTTAGTTGTTATCTTATTATACTGTATATAATGTGTATATAATGTGTATCTTTTAATTCTATTTTCTTCCCTGTACATGCTGCTGCGACACCAAAATTTCCCTCTTGAGGGATCAATAAAGTATCTATCTATCTATCTATCTATCTATCTATCTATCTATCTATCTATCTATCTATCTATCTATCTACACAACAATTTATGTTTGTATGCATTAAGATGTAACACTGTTATGTTCAAGGAGCAACCTGTTTATGGACTGAAAGTATTGAAGTATGAAGTAATGTTGCAATGTGAATTTGAAAATAAAGAATTTTAGTATAAAGGGTTGGAAATTAAAGCTTTTTAATGCTGTTTTTTCCGATTCATTGATTAATCAAAGAAATAATCGAACGATTAATTGATTATCAAAATAATCGTTAGTTGCAGCCTCCAACCCTAACTATGTGCTTTGAGAGCAGTTCAGGATGTTCACGTAACTGTCAAACCCTTCACAAGATGATGACCAAATGTCTCGATCAAGGTGTTGTGGCCACAATTCCGAGGCAAGTTCACCCATTAAAATACTAGGGCTAGCTCTCTGATCCCTTACAAAAACACTACGGCTGAGTGTTTGTCACGTTGCAACACAGGCAGGGCGAGGTGACAAAGCCAGTGTGGTACCCAGAGTGCAGTGTACTCTAGCATTCGATCCACTATAATATCCCCAGATTGTGCCTTCAAAATCAGTTTGGGAAATCTTTCTCCTTTGTCTATTTCTTAACCAGATGAGGCAAATATTTACAGCCGCATCCAGAAATGGCACATTAACGTTTCAATTTCTTGAAATCATTGGGACTCATCAACCAACATCTGCTTGCCATATAATAAGAACACAGTATGTACTCATTGGCAACACACTTTAAAACATACACTGCAGCCTGTCCACCAACACACACATTTCTTTTTGGATCTGTACCAATCATTTTTAAAATAGTGACAGATTATTGAACATATTAGACATTAGCAACAACATGAAAACGAAATTTTTCCCCACCAGGGATCATTTTGCTACTACATTTTGATACTAATTGCTCCAACTAGAAGGTTGTTTTGGGAATCTGCTAAGAAATGTCCATTAAGCTGCTCAAACTGAGCAACCACAAGGGTCCGTCCTCTGCTATAAGGCCCTACCATTTCCGTAAGGAGTTAATTTCGTTGTGTTTTCCTATTTGCCGTTGTGTTTTCCCATTTGCCGTTGTGCTTTCCTATTTGCGTTTTGCGTTCCTATTTGCCGTTGCGTTTTGCACTTCAGGGCCACCGTAGATATCGGGTGGTTCATTTCTTCTTTTACAGAGAGAAGAAAAGGAAAGAAAAAACATAATTGAGGAAGAAAAAATGTTAACAAGAGCAAAGGAAGAACATATGCCTTTTATTTATTTAAGACTTTTCCACAACGTTCTATAATTAAATTCAGACTTTTACCATTGCCTGAAATGTTTACGGCTTGCTAATGTTGCTTATTTTCAAATACGATTACTACAAAAGTCATTACATTACATTACATTACATTACATGTCATTTAGCTGACGCTTTTATCCAAAGCGACGTACAATAAGTGCATTCAACCATAGGGTACAAACTCAGGAGAACAAGAAACAAGAAAGTGCAATTTCCTCAAAAATAAGCGAATTTACAATTTGCTATAGATGAGTGACGTCACAAGTACAATTTAAGTGCTACAATTTGTTAGTCTTTAGTCGAGGTAGAGTCTGAAGAGGTGTGTCTTTAGTTTGCGGCGGAAGATGTGAAGGCTCTCTGCGGTCCTGATGTCTTCAGAGAGCGCGTTCCACCATTTCGGCGCAAGGACAGCGAAGAGTCGAGACCTAGTCGAGTGTTTTGCTCTCAGTGAGGGAGGGACGAGTAGTTTTGCAGATGCAGAGCGGAGAGTGCGGGTTGGGATGTAGGGTTTGACCATGTCCTGGATGTAAGCTGGACCCGATCCATTCACAGCATGGTACGTGAGCACCAGTGTTTTGAACTGGATGCGGGCGGCCACCGGTAGCCAGTGAAGAGAGCGGAGGAGTGGAGTAGTGTGGGAGAATTTCGGAAGGTTGAAGACCAGTCGAGCTGCTGCATTCTGAATGAGCTGCAGAGGTCGAATGGCGGTGGCAGGGAGACCTGCCAGGAGGGAGTTGCAGTAGTCCAGGCGGGAGATGACAAGAGCCTGAATCAGTACCTGCGCTGCCTTCTGAGTGAGAAGGGGACGTATTCTCCTGATGTTGTAGAGCGTGTATCTACAGGATCGCGTTGTCGCAGTGATGTTGGGAGTCAGGGAGAGTTGGCTGTCGAGTGTGACGCCGAGGTTCTTAGCAGTCGAAGTGGGCGTTAGCACAGAGTTTCCAAAGTTGACTGTCAGGTCCTGGGTAAGCGAGTCTATTCCGGGAAAGAGAAGTAGTTCAGTCTTGTCGGGGTTGATTTTCAGATGGTGGGCGGACATCCACTGAGAGATGTCAGTTAGACAGGCAGAGATCCGAGCCGCCACCTGGGTGTCCGAGTGAGGGAAGGAGAGAATTAGTTGGGTGTCATCGGCATAGCTGTGGTAAGAGAAGCCATGCGAGCGAATGACAGCGCCAAGAGAGTTGGTGTAAAGCGAAAACAGGAGGGGACCCAGCACGGAACCCTGAGGAACTCCAGTAGTAAGAGGACACGGTTCCGACACAGATCCTCGCCAGGTTACCCGGTAGGTGCGGCCATCGAGGTAGGACGAGAGAAGGGAGAGAGCAGAGCCTGTGACACCAAGTTCCTGAAGGGAGGAAATAAGGATCTGGTGGTTGACCGTGTCAAATGCAGCAGAGAGGTCCAGAAGGATGAGGACAGAGGAGAGAGAGGCGGCTCTAGCAGTGTGGAGTTGCTCAGAGACAGCAAGGAGAGCAGTCTCTGTAGAGTGGCCTGCCTTGAAACCTGACTGGTGGGGGTCAAGGAGGTTGTTACAGTGGAGATAAGAGGAGAGTTGATTAAAGATAGCACGTTCAAGGGTTTTGGACAAGAAGGGAAGAAGAGAGACCGGTCTGTAGTTGTTTTCTTCAGAAGGGTTGAGGGTGGGTTTCTTCAGGAGAGGGTTGACTCTTGCCTCCTTCAGAGAATTGGGAAAACAGCCAGATGACAGAGCGTTGTTGATGAGAAAGGTAAGGAACGGAAGAAGGTCAGGTGCGATAGATTGTAGAAGATGTGATGGAATGGGGTCAAGAGGGTCGCTCTCTAATGGAGTGAAGTTAGAAAACGCTTAACCGTGTTAAGTGTTCAGACATACTTTGATTTTACCAGATTTGTTTTTGTACCTTAACAATTGTCTAGAAAGTCTAGAAAAGCCTCCGGCGACGGTGCTCTCACCAACAACCACATTACAGCGAGTCATCCACCTGTCGGTTGTGCACTAAGAACGCCGAAACAGGAGGTTTTGGCGTACTGCGAGACGTTTATTATTCACAGCAGAACCCTGCCAGCTCCCAGAGGACTACACAGGGATAAAGGGATGGAAAAACACACACCAAGCAGCACCACTTGACATTTACAGTCATCTGTGGTTGGTCTGCTGACTACTTAAATGATCTGACCTTTAAAAAAGAGGAGCAGCTTGTTTTTTTTTCCAGTTGATGTTCATGGTTCATAAGTGATCGACAGGCTTGAGACGATTGCAGGTCCATCCATTTCTGCTCCCTTTAGCTCATACGGCTCAACATTTTGCTGCGAGCATAAGAGTTATTCTGCAACCAAGTGACTGAAAGAAGTTGTTAGGGTGCAGAAAAGACAGAAAAAGAGTAGGAGTCTCAATGCATTCTATAGCTATATTTCCCTGCCTTCACAGTTTGTGAATACACTGGGAAATGACTCTGTGAAGTCACTTAATGAACAGTTCTGCTGAACTAAAAGAAAAAAAATGATATACCAAATCAAATTAAAGCAATAACTAATTAGAATTGCTTCTCAGATCCAACAGATGGTCTTCTACTTTGGGGCTTTTTCTCTCTATACGACCAAAATAGAAAGACAGAGGACACAAGCTTCCTACTGGAAATAAAAAATCTCATCTTTGCTCAGCTTCTCTGATTCAACTCTAGTTCTGACATTCACAACGTCGGTGCATTTTGTGGTCCCTACTAAAATCCTAACATGCATGCTATTAACCTGCTTTGACTTTTCTGTGTGCAACCCATTGACTTGTTTTTTAAACAAGGAACTATTGTCCAATATATGAGCACGGACTTGATTACTAACTAACTCTTTGTGAAGGGTATAACAAACAGGTCTGGAGGAGAGGCTACCAAAACGTCAGTCACAGTATCTTGATGGCTCATTGCGTATTCACCACAGTGCTACTTTAGTGTGAGGTGAATACAAATGACCCACACACCTTCTCCAGGGACTGGAGCTGTTGTTTCTGTCTTTCATCCAGGGCTTGGCTCTGGCTGTGCAGGGACTCCCTCTCTTCTTCCATCCTCAGCACTTTGTCCTTCAGCCGGCTGCGTTCGTTGTCCAGGTCCCTGATCGCCGCTTCCTGGGTCATCTGGGTGGCCTGCAGGCTGCTTATTTGACCTACAACGGGACGGAGCAAACAGACATGAGCAGAATAGAAAGAGTAAAGCTTTGTCATCTGCATATCGAGGTTCTTGGGGGTCGGCCCTTGTTAATGCAACCCGGTGTCGGTAACTCCTTACTGGAATTTACATTTTGTCATAATTTTGTCCATGTTATCTCATTTCTTGCTTTGGAGGCGGTGGTATTTTATTTGGTAGTACTTACTGTCATTTCATAGTGGTTTCTAGGGAATGGTATGATTATTTTTTAAGACCTTTTTTTCTTAGATTTTAAACATTGGTATTTCTGTGGATACACTTAGTATGACTTACTGGACTTACTCAACTCAGACAACACAACAACAGAGATTTGTATTTATTAATCAACAATGTTTTTTCAGGTTAGAAAGCCACCGGGGGGGCTTGACATGACCGTCAGACATGTGATGCGTCTTGCTTAAGTATACTATGGTGTGAACAGTGTGCTTTTATAGTTACTCTCCACCTGGATCTTATCTGTTCGCCTCACGTGGACGTAGCTCCAGTGGACAATGATCTAGCGCTCTCATTGGGAGCGACCTGCTAACAGGAGCCAATGGGCCGAGCAGAATTCTGCACTTGGTTGCTGCTGTCGCTCACGCATTTCAGACAGTGATATTTATGCGACGTTGTTGCACAAAGTACTGATATTAGATCAGATTCTAACATGGAAACATTTACCCCTACATGCGTGCACACACACACACACACACACACCATTAACCGGCCATCATTGATGCAAGAACAGTTTCTGCCGCCTCTGAGGCACTGACGACACTATTAGCCGGGGTCTGCAAGACATCGCACCATTAAAGGACTTCATGCCACGATACCACGGACAACTTGAGAGAAGCCGCTAGTGGGAATGTTTAGGAGGAAGGGCCCCGCGGGTAGCAATGGGTGCAAGTATGCATTATGAATCCAAGTCCATTTAAGTAGGGGGGGGGGTCTTACTAGCTTTGAGCAGTATTTCAGTCGCTTGCTGCTGAACTCGGTCTCTGGCTGCCTCAAGTTCACACTCTGCTTCCTTCTGACGGATCTCCACAATTTCGGAGTTCTGGGTCACTTCATCCAGCTGCTTGGTTAAGTCCTGGAGAGGATTCAAGCCACAGAAAAGAAACAAAACGTTGTTAACACATAAAGCAGCCGCCATTCGCTGACGATGTAAGTCAATGAGAACATTTTGCTAATCAAAGGAAAAGAATGATGGCGCAAAAAAAGTGGCAGTACACTTGGCAACACTGGCAATGCTAATTAAACTTGGCATCGGAAAAAACAACCTTGAACTGAACAAAGGAAAATTCACATTGAAATCCTTTTTTGAAGAAGTCGTATTGGCACTGAAAAATAAAATACAAATCTTCCATCAAACGTTCCTGTAAGAATGAATGTAACACCGTTTTTTTTCAATCTCATTAAATCATTTTCTTTCGATTGCTTTTCAATAACCATCTATCTTCATGTCAGGCTTTTTCCAAAGTGTTTATATTCAGTCTAACTAAATATCTAACCAGCACTCCTTCAGTTAACATTTAACTGGAGCCCTGTCTGCTGCCACTTGTTCTTTAATCAACCATGTTCAACACTTTCAGGCATCTAAGGAAATGATTCTCACAGTGTGTCGCTTTGCCCGGGGAACATTTCTTGGATTAATTTCTTATAATAATGTTTTTTGTTTAAAAATATTCTACGGATGTTGGATGTCTGGTAAGGGACCCTTCGCTGAAATGATATTAAGAGTGTGTATTTTGATCAATCATTTGTATAACAAAAAAGTCCAAAATATCCATATTTGATACATTTAAAAAGGCTTTGAGAGGCAGATGAATGGAAATGAAAATATCGACTGATATGGAGGAAATATCCACATACTCATGATTATATAAATCATAATAACAGAAAGATATATTATATAATAGTTATGTTGCATCAGTTTTTTATATAACAGCTGAAGGCAGAAGCAAGATCTTGGATTTCCCTAGCTGGTTGGCACAGAATTAAGCTTATTTGTAGCTTATTACTAATACTGAGGATCAAAAATGTAAATACTGACTGTATCTGAATGAATAAGCACTAGACATGAGGGAGGTTTTTGAAGTGCTTACATACCAGGACATAAACACAAACACACACACACACAGCACAGTAGCTGTGTGATTTAGTGATGAGCTCATGGGGGGCAATTTCACATCTTTGAATCCCATCAAACGGCCTCCTTCAAACTTAATTACTGCTGCCTTGGCTGAGACAAAGAAACCTCAGTGTGATAATAACCACTGTGAAGTCACACGCAGACAAGACATGATTGTGTGTGCGTGTGTGTCATGTCCATCTTGGACCTCTTTGTGAGCCCTAATCAGGTTTTTTTTTCTAAAAAAGTAAGGGAAATTTTCTTCAGTCCTCCCTTTTTTCATTGGACTGTTTGAGGGTAAAGCTGAAGGTTCAGGTTCATATATCACACAGAAATGCTCACACACAGACTCACTTTTGTCAGTCATCATTATTTGACATGGCTGAATCCTGCATTTGCGTTTAAATAGAAAAGCCCATGAAAACCATCCTTTTAGTTATTTATTGTTTCATCCTGTTAATAGCTTTCACTAACCTGCCCAGATAGCTTCTAGCTGACTGTGAAGTATTTACTCCAAAAACAGTGACAATAGCAATTGAGCACAGCTTCAGATGGGTACTTCGTCGGGGGATAATTTGTCATTTTCACCCTGCATATTCCTGTTTGTGAACAGTCTGTAATTAATTATGTCAGTCTCCATTACTCCAAGCGATCATTTGCTCCTATTTCTCTGATTTTCCAAAGAAATCATAAGCTAAAGGCAGACGACAGAGAACAAGGAAGCAATAAGCTGAGGCATCCTGACACTGTCTGCAAATGCCTCTGCCTCTGTTAAGTTGATGTTTTATGCTGCTATTTCTACCCATGAAGTGTACCTTTGAATGAGGAACATTTGGACTTGGCGCAACATTTTCCACAGCGAAAATAGATTTAGTGAGTAAATTTAAAAACGTCCTTGTGCGTCAGCAAAGTGCTACATCTTTTAAACCAGATGATTACAAACTCAGGGCAAGAGGATTGGTGAAACACGAGCGGTGTATCGTCATGATCAAAACAATGATCTCAACCTCTGCTCTGAGCTTGTTCATTTCTAATCTAACATCTCAAAGCAGGAGATGAAAGATTAGGAGATCTGTTATTGTGAAATTACCGTAGTAACAATACGAGATATTAGCCATGTGATGTACGAAAGAGAAAGAAAAGACAAAGATTAAATTGTTTCTACCCTAATATGAATCATATGAGAGAATCGAGAAGAGCTGTCAAGTGAAGTTGGTTTCAAGCTCTCTGCTCTGTTGCCGTTTCTTATCTGGGTTACAGTTAATTGCTCTGAAAACGAATCAAATTATCAACCCCGGGCACACCAAACACAGCTGACCTTGATAACATTCTCAGTGACGCTGAGAAGGGGAGCTCCCCATCCCGTCTTCGGTGCAATCAGTAATAATTTCACGCAAACATCACAGAATATCACAACTAAAAAAACATTTTAACAATTCCCCCAGAGCACATGTCAACTTTATTTTCAACGGTGGAGATCATTTCATGAGTGTTGATTTCCAAAGGCAGTCCAGAACTCAGAGAGTAGAAAAATGATCACAGCCTTGCTAATACATCGTGGAACGAGGCACAGAGGAGGTGTGGATGGAGAAGGGAAGAGAGTAGGCAGGGAGGGAGGAGATGGGGGTAACTTCACAGGTTTAAATAAATAAATATGAAATAACATAGATGGAAATTGTATGTATGTCCAAGATATACTATTAATACTACTAATACTAATGGCTTCAAAACAGCGGTTTGAGACAAAGGAAAACTTTAATGTTGCAGTGTGTCCCACTTATTTGCGAATATCAGCAGAAAAGAGTGGAGTTTTTTTTTGCCATTATATAGCTTCTTCTTGGAAGCATGCTGAACTAGGGCTGCAACAACGAATCGATGAAATCGGTAAAATTTGATTATTAAAAGCGCTGGCAACAGATTTTATTATCGATTCCTTGTGTTGCACGATTATTACGTCACCCAATGAGTTGTGGACACACCACTGTGTAAAAGACCACACATGCGTACCATGTGAGAGCCCTGGAAGTGTGTCAATGGCATTGTGGGTAATCACAGACACTGCTGTGTAAAAGACGACGATAATGACTGCATAATGAATGCCACAGTTGTTTCAAATGACACGTGTTCACGAATGGAATTTTCATGAATTGAGAAGTCACGTGCTGACGAATGGAACCAGATGCCGTAGCGTTTTGGTGTCGCTCTTGAGTATATCAATTCAACATATTGGCCTCCCTCCCCCCCACCCCTATGGAGCCAAATACGGGTCAAAAGTTTTGTTCATTTGAAAAACAACCGTGAACCTGAAAGTTTAAGTTTTTTTGTTGAACATTGAAAAATACAACAATATATTCAAAATAAAAATAAGTGGAGAAAAAATATTTTCAGGATGAATATAGTTTTGACTCAGCTCTATATTTTTTTCAATAAAATATATTTTTTCAATCTTCACTTATATTTTTTATACTGCACATTAAAATCAATGTGGTTCGTCCAGCTCGCAGACCAGTCCGTACTCCTAAAACGATGCTTAGTTGTGGTTGTAGCTGGTTGTCTACATTGTTGCGGTTACAGAGAGGTGTCGTTTGTACTTTAACAACGCTTCGCTGACGAGCTGGTGAACCGGGTCCGAATCTGTCTTCAGCCTTATTTGTTAAGCTGTCACTCATAATGACACGCCCCTCCTAGTTGATGCCTTGCCCCCTACGCCACATCAGGGTCAAAAGTCTGAATGTGAAAATAAAAGATCCGAACCCTTGTCAATGCCAATGCTAATTCAACTAGCTCATGTGTTTTATTTTGTTTAACAGTTTAACATGTCTCAGCCTCTCGGACCATTAGCACCGGTTCCCCCCAAGGCTGCGTTCTTTCCCCTCTGCTCTTCTCCCTGTACACCAACAGCTGCACCTCCAGCCACCAGTCCGTCAAGCTCCTGAAGTTCGCGGATGACACCACCCTCATTGGACTAATCTCTGGTGGGGACGAGTCCGCCTACAGGTGGGAGTCTGACCATCTGGTGTCCTGGTGCAGCCAGAACAACCTGGAGCTCAACGCTCTAAAGACAGTGGAGATGGTTGTGGATTTCCGGCGGAACAGAGCCCCACCCTCCCCCATCACGCTGTGTGACTCCCCCGTCACTATTGTGGATTCCTTCCGTTTCCTGGGCTCCATCATCACCCAGGACCTCAAGTGGGAGCTGAACATCAGCTCCATCACCAAGAAGGCTCAGCAGAGGTTGTTCTTCCTGAGGCAGCTGAAGAAACTCAACCTGCCAAAGACGATGATGGTCCACTTCTACACGGCCATCATCGAGTCCATCCTCTGCTCCTCCATCACCGTCTGGTACGCTGCAGCCACAGCCAAGGACAAGGGCAGGCTGCAGCGGGTCATCCGCTCTGCAGAGAGGGTGATCGGCTGCAATCTGCCGTCCCTGCAGGACTTGTTCGCTTCCAGGTCTCTGAAGCGAGCTAAAAAGATCGCGGCCGACCCCTCCCACCCCGGACAAAAACTGTTTGTGCCCCTTCCATCTGGCAGGAGGCTGAGGTCCATCAGGACTACGACCTCCCGCCACACGAACAGTTTCTTCCCGTCGGCAGTCGGGCTCATCAATAGAGCCCGGTCCCCCACTGCCTGACTATAACACTCCACCGGTCACTCCCCCTCATACCGCACATGCCACTTTAACTGCAATTCATCACTTTGTCACTTGTCACTTTGTCTCTTGTCTGTTACTTGTTTGTTAGTGCACTTTATGCTTAATATTTTTCTTTTTTACTTTTTAATATTTAAATTTTGTAAACTTTATTCTCTTGTTTTATACTAACCCATAGCCTTAGCCTTATTCTACTAACCCATTGCATTAGCATTTCATTCCACTTTATTTTATTACTTGTGCACTGTTGTCTTGTCTGTCTACTGTCGCGCACTAATCGGCAAGACAAATTCCTTGTATGTTTGACATATTTTGGCTAATAAATGTTTCCTGATCCTGATGCCACGAGGTACTTTGTGGGGACGCTAACATCTGTATATTCGCCAGGTATGTCATGTTCGTAGCTAAAGTTAGTCTGCTGCAGGGTGTGCAACTGGGTGTCTAACGTCGCGAAATAAACGGCCGATTGGAGCCGAATGTGGTCCGTGTCCTGGTGGTAATTAAAAAAACACAACACAAGAGAGAGTACAACCGCTACACGTGCACCCGAGTGATATGTCATCCTTATTACCAAATACGGTAATAATGTCATCCTGATTACCAAATAAGGTAATTTGGCTTCCAAAACTCGCTGACATTCCTGAATATCACTGATATACGGCACTGGGGTCAACGTGGGGTAGAGAGGGTGCGCCACAAATGCCATGTAGGTCGCTTTGAAAGGAATCAAGTTTCCTATTTTATGGTTTGTATTAATGAACCTTAAATATGCAGAGCTCACCACCTGTGGGGGAAACCGGTGGGGTCGGGTGCGCTGCCACAAGGGTGTCAGTGACAGTAGGGGGTCTAGACAGAACAGACCTGGGTGGCAGATGCTGGCTCTGGGGACGTGGAATGTAACCTCTCTGGGGGGGGGGGGGGGGGGGGGCGGAGCTTGTACGGGAGGTAGACCGTTATCAGTTGGATCTGGTGGGGCTTACCTCTACGCACAGCCTCGGCTCTGGAACCCCACTCCTGGATAGGGGATGGACTCTATTCTACTCCGGACTGGCTCATGGTGTGAGGCGCCAGACGGGTGTGGGGATACTCATAAGTCCTGCAGCTGAGTGCTGCTACATTGGAGTTTACCCCGGTGGACAAAAGGGTAGCCTCCCTACGCCTTCGGGTGGTGGGGGGGGGGGGACCTTTTTGGAGATCCTGAATGGAGTCCACTGGGGCTCCAATAGGGGACTCCATAGTCCTACTGGGAGACTTCAATGCGCACGTGGGCGAACTGGGAATGTCTGGAGGAGGCCCCGGTCCAAAAGATTTTCAACTCACACCTCTGGCGGAGCTTCTCTCACATTCCTGTGGAGGGAGGGGACATTGAACCAGAGTGGTGTATGTTCAAAACCTCCATTGCTGAAGCCGTGGCAGTGAGTTGTGCCTCAAGGTGCATCAAGGGGAGGTAACCCTCGAACCCTGTGGTGGACACCGATGGTCAGGAAAGCCGTCCGAATGAAGGGTTATGATATCCGGTGGGACTCCGGAGGCAGTTGCAGTGTACCGACAGGCTCGAAGGGCAGAAGACTCTGCCGTGATGGAGGCAAAGCAGCGAGTATGGGAGGAGTTTGGGGTAACTATGGAGAAGGACTTTCAGTCGGCACCAAAGTGCAGGCAGTGATCTCCAACTCTCACAGGAAAGTTTCGCAGTTGAGTGTGAAGTGGTCGGGATGAGGATTAGCACATGTGTCCTTACCCCAAGTGAAGGAGTTCCAGTACCTCGGGGTCTTGTTCACGAGTGAGGGGAAGATGGAGTGAGAGCTTGGCTGGAGAATCGGAGCAGCGATTACTGCACCGTTGTAACGAAAAGAGACCTGAGCCGGAAGGCAAAGCTCTCGATCTACGGGTCAATTTTCGTTCCTACCCGCACCTATGGTCATGAAGGATGGGTCATGACCGAAAGAACTAGGTCACGGGTACAAGCGGCCGAAATGGGTTTCCTCAGGAGAGTGGCTGGCGTCTCCCCTAGAGATAGGGAGAGAAGCTCAGCCATTCATGAGGAGCTTGGAGTAGAGCCGCTGCTCCTTTGCGTCGAAAGGAGCCAGTTGAGGGAAGACCCAGGACTAGGTGGAGAGATTATATCTCTGCACTGGCCTGGGAACGATTTGGGATCCCCCAGTCAGAGCTGGTAGGTGTGGCCTGGGAAAGGTGTGGCCTGGGTAAATTTGGAGTCTCCGGCTGGAGTTGTTTCCCCCACGACCCGACCCCGTATAAGCGGCAGAATATGGATGGATGGAAGTATGCAGAGTATAGGTTTTGGGATTCAGTATATCAATTCAACATATTTTCCAACCTTTTTTTAGTTGCATTAAATATTTATAGTTGCATAAAAAAAAGTGCTGGACGCTGCCCCATTGTCACTGTTTTCTGCCTCTTGTGACCCTGGGTAACTTCACTTCCTGCCTTGTCCTGTCATCCCCGCCGGAGGCTCCCCGGCCAACTGACCGTCCGCCGGAGTTCCCCGGGTGGCCCCACCCTTGTCTCCTGGTTCCCTCTCTCCCGCCCCATGTCTGCTCTCTGCTAGTTCCGCCTGCCGTTTAGGGCCATCTGGAATTTGGCCCTTGAGGGGGGGGTTCTGTCACGGTTTGGGTTCACAACCTGTTTTATTTTGTAGTTTTCTGCCTCTTGTGTCCCTGGGTAACTTCAAATCCTGCCTTGTCCTGTCATCCCCTGTGATTGTCTGCTGTGTCATTATTGTTTCCACCTGTGTCCAATCACCTGCACCTCCCTAGTGTATTTAAGCCATGTGTGTTTCTTGTCACTTGTCACATCATTGTTGAATCTTCTGGAAGTGCAAGCCTGAGTGTTCCTGGTTCTTGTCTGTGTTTTTCTCCCTTGGCCTTTTTTTGATTCGAATTTTGACTCTTAAAGTATTTTTGTTTTCGAAAACTCTGCGTCTGGGTCCTGCCTCCCCCATTGCATATTGATAGTCGTTTGTGTTGCAATACGTTTTGAATATCGAACTTCAAATTAGTATTGCGTGTTTGATACATCTATGGTTTTGCATTGAATCATTCTAAGATGTTTGATGAAATTAATTGGATAGCCAAACCGACAAAATGCGATGCAGAGAACATCTGGAAAGCCGCTGCATGTCGTGCTCTCCGTAAATTTCTGTTTGTTTATTTTTCGCTTAATAAACTTCTGGATGTTCCACATTTCACTGCTTCAATTGATCAAATGTATTGTATTCTCATTGGGTAATGATGCATTCCATGAAGCCTCCTGCAAGCAGGCACATTTAAAGAATTGTAATCTGATTGATTACTTAAAATGAGCATATACGTACATATATACATACATACAACACTCACTTGTGTGTGTTTAATGCTGTCATTTACGATAGTCTAGGGCGCTTGCGCACATACTGTGGGTTGTACGGTAGTTGATGTTATGCCTGTAAAGAGAGACACTGTGATCTAATAAACCAGCGCGGCTAACTCAGAAGCCTCTAATGCATTTATTTACAAATGCCATTTTAAATTCATCTCATAGCACTTGGTTGTTTTTAGCTGTACTTAGATGGGGTGTATACATTTACTTAACTTACACTACAATGATGATAATAAGTTAATGAATAAGCTTCAAGTGAACATTGGCTGTGTTTGTGAGAGTAGTATAAGTTCTGACGTTAAAACAAATCCTGTTACATTTTCTGATTTGTATTTTTCTTTTTTTGAAATGTATTATGTCCAAGGAGCAACCTGTACTTTCTGAACTATTTTTGCAATGTGAATTTGCAGTTCTGTTTTAGAATAAAGGGTTGGAAATGAAAGCGTTTTAATACTGTTTTCTTTATTCGATTCATCGATTAATCGAAGAAATAATCGGCCGATCAATCGATCAAAATAATCGTTAGTTGCAGCCCTATGCTGAACATCCTGGTAATTTCCTCTGTGCATTGACCACTGTACTATCCATGAAAACCATTTTCCATTTCATCTCATTTTCATCCCATGTAAAGGTTTTATTTTATAGTTCCGATTAATTATCCGTTACAGGGACACATTTTGTAGGTTTTCCAAAAAGCAGAAGAGTCTTAACACAATCTACTAAGAACTTTATTCGTTTCCATTACAGGATGTTCTGATGTGTTACTGTCGCCCTCCCTGTCCCCTCCAGTGTTTTATATTCCACCTGAATGAAAAGCATATGACTCCATAGAGAGTGCCGTGTTCGGACCCACCTTGACGGTCCCCTCGGCCGCGGTGAGGGACCCCTGAAGCCTGTGGGACTTCTCCCGGTTTTCCCGAGCTTCATCCGTTATCCTGGCCAACTCGGCCCTCAGCTTTCCCAAGGTTTTCTGGAGTGCCGCCTCCTGAGTCTGAAATTCCCGCCGCAGTTCGGACTCGGTGCGTTTCCACGCCAGCAGGTTGTCGGCGGTTAGCTGCTGAGTCCTCTTCATTGCCTCCAGCTCTCGTTCGTAAAAAGACTGAGCCTGGGAAGGGACAGACCAGTATAAAAAAAACACCTGAATCCAAAGTAGAAACTACTAAGCCGTCAGAGCGGAAACTGGTCTTTAAGTTTTCTACTTTACTCTATTTTTTATTCATGAAAAATCTGAAATGCTTTTGGGCGGCGGGTGGAGCAGCTGTCTCATCAAAATGCACACTCATGTGAGAATAATCAACACAAGTAAATGTGTCTGTTTTCCCCATCAGTGAGTTAGGTATTTTTAATTAATTGAAATGAATAGATTTTTAAATGCAGTAGTTCAATCATGGCTTTCACCTTTAACAAGCCTGCGGCTCTCAGCCTTCACGTTGAGCAAGGTCAACATAATAGTGCCAATAAATGTAAATGGGGTTTGCTTTGAAACATTGCTCACTTTGTCAGAGCCTCTTTTACTTTCAGCAAAACTTTGAACCATGTTGTTATTTTATGGCCAAACAACTCAAGAAATAACAGATGAGACATCCAGTAGATATTCGCAATAAACACTTTAGATATTTGGACATTAATATATTAAAATAAATAAATTATTTTCTGACTTTTTATTTCAGGAAAGCTAAATTTAAAATACTTTTTAGCATCATGTGAAGTCTAGTGCATTTGGCCTAGACAATGAATAAGCATTCTCCACCTCCATATTTTAGAAGACATATTTGCCAATTTGCCAATGATCTTGCTGATGTCAATCATTCGGCGAACCGAACATAACTGTATTTACTTCATGAATATACCTGTTTAGACCTTTTTTAATGGATGTATTCAAAGGCTAATGCTTTGAAAATATCCTCCTCGGTGGCTAAAGTACCTTGCTGAGTTTGGCTTCATACTCCTCCACCAGTCTCTTTTTGTCCTGTTTGAGTTCCTCCACACGCTCCGCCAGAGAATCCACCTGCAACCGCACGAAATGAGAAGGACAGAGATGAAATGGCTTTCGCTCGATGTCTCCTCAGCTCCCTTTTGGAACAATTGCAGACTATTACATATGATAAGAGTTTAAGTTGATGTAACAGGTTAAAGGACAAAGTGATGTAGTAATCACAGCTGTCCCACTTTCATCCTGGTTCGTTTCTCCGGTCATTTAGCTGCTCTGCCTTTCATTGTATGCTCCGCTTGGCAGCGTGTGTTACCTCGGCTTTGTGAAGCTGCCCCAGTTTCTCCTGGTCTTTACTGTAGTTTGCGTTGTGACTCTGGTGGCTGCGGAGGAGCTCCTGGACCTCCTGCCTGTGCTGGCTCTTCAGCTCCTCCAGAGCAGCCTTCTTCTCCTGCTCAAACTGGTTCTGAGCCTGGCTGAAGGTACGCAGCTTCTCCTCGAAGGACCGTCGCATCTCCTCCACCTCGCGCGACATGGACACCACCCGCTGCGTGTGCTGACAAAGGAGACAGGAATAAAAGAGCGAGTGTACAGGACGGTCTATGTATGGGTTGTTAGGGATATCGCACTGTGGGTAAACTTTGGCAAGAGATTTAAGCCATGATCTTGATGTTCACCTTATGGCTGCTCTAAGATAGACGTAAAAATCAGCAAACACACTCCACAGAAACCCGAACATCAGCATTTGTGTCCGCAAATTTAACTAAGAGTCGTTTTTTAATACCATTGACTTAAAGGGGGGGGGGGTCTCTGCCATTGCATTAACAGCAAATGATAAACATCTCTCCGAGGCAAATTTACATATACAGATTCACGCCTTTCATTTAATTTGCATTCACAGTAGATAATTAGCGTTCCACTTATGAAGGCAGCAGATAATGACCCAATCAGCGACACACGCACATTACAATGGGCAACATGACCTGAGAGCACACGCTCGAGATGTTCACTCCGGCTGGGAATTATGTGCAAAACCCAACTTATAATAGAATGTCATCCAATGTGGAAATTGAACAACTGATAAATTAATTTTCGGCAGCTTGTAATTTACCAGCTGCCATTCATCAGCAACCACTCTTCTAATACACAAGCACAAACACAGCTTAGCATGCGCTTCAGCCTCTTTACGTGTTCTTTCTTTGAGTGTCAATAGCATCATTCATCCAGTGGTTTTATTCCATCTCTTCCCTTGTTTCCTCAACAGAGCGGCACATCCTCCACCCACCGCGTGCAAACCGACATACTATTGTCATCCATCTGTGAATTCAACTGGATCCGCATCGATTGGTTGTAATGTTAACTGTCCATATCCATGGACACAGAAGAAAGTCCAACGCGTTAGCGGACATGTCGATTTAAAGTGCGGACATAATAGTTGTGTTTCCATTAATCACTCATGCAAATTTTAAGGAAACTTTTGAAATGTTGCAAAAAACAGTGGTTTGTCAAAAGTCGATGGTACAGGCTACGCCTAAACAGAAGAAAGAAAAAAGTAGAATCTGTAAATGAGAAACAAAGTTTTTCCCCTCTATTACATTTTAATTCTTCCATCATATACTATCCAGACCCTGTTCCTGCCTCCTACCGTGGCCCTGCTGACACCTGCTGCTGCCATCATCATCATTACTATTTAAAATATTAATCGCATTATTATTACAGTCATCATAAACCAACATCACCCTTTCCTAGAGTCTTTGTGCTTTCCCTCCCCACAGGCTTCTGTGGATGATGGTTGTATCTGATGGTGGTTGTCCCTGCAGTGGTCCTGCCGTACACTTGGCTTGCTACTCGCAATTATTTGAATCATTTCGGTTATAGGAATTTATACATCTTTTACATTGTTCATTCTGTACACATAGCGTCTATTGTAGTCTGTCCATTCCGAGAGTGGGATCCCCCCTCTGAGGGTTCTCACTAAGGTTTCATCCCTTTTTTCCCTATGGAAACGTTTTTAATATTTTGGGGAGTTTTTCCTGTGCCGATATGGGGGTTTTGGGACCGAGGATGTCGTATGTGTCATATGTGGACTGTAAAGCCCTGTGAGGCAAATTTGTAATATGCGGTTTTGTGCTTCACAAAATAAAATGAATTGAATATAAACATACAGCTGAAACAGCTGATCAGTCAGGAGAGTTTACGATTCAGTACGTCAGAATCTATTATGGAAAGGCTTTTTCTCGTCTCATGTGGCGAATTAACTTAAATAAAAGCAAGCCAAATAAAATAACTGGGAGGCCGGTGCACTACCCACATCCCAGCCAGATATTTCAAGAATGAATCTTTCCAGCATGCATATGTAATATTTACCTCCCCACCCATGTGAGCAAGCAAGCTGGAAATTAGGAAATATTAATGCTCTAGTTTTGATTGAAGTACCTTTAAATGAGACACATACTAGCCTAACTGTAACCAAAGTGTATTAAATCTCTTCTGGATTTCATCCACATACAAGACACAATAAAATAATAATAAAATCTAAAGATGAAAAGCAGCTCTGCACCTTGTGACTACTACCCAACAAGTCAAAAATCCAGCCAGACTGTTAATGCTGACTGACCAACTCCTCAGCCTCACAACACCTGACAGAAACAAACTATTAGTACTAATTAGTATCATTACCTGCAGCATCAGGCTAGACACTTTTACACACCCCCACCCACACTGCCTGGTCCTTCTATCTACCTGAGCCTCAGTGCAAAGCTGCATGTCCTCCACCCGCTGACGGTAGCTCTCAAACTCGGCCAACGCCTGCCTCTTCATCCTCTCGTGGAGCTCCATGGACTCCTCCATGGACTGGATCCGCCTCTTCAGGTCGATCTCATCGCTGATCTTGCTCTTGTACTGTTGATTGAACGATGGAAAGTATTTGAAATCCTCATGTGACATAGGAAAATACATGTGCCGGATTGATTAACCCGAAAAGCAGTAGTTGGTGAGAAAACAGTGGAAATTTGGTGAAAAAAGTTGACATCAATGACCATTGCAGCTAAACTGTGGTTTAGTGAGCTGTACAAACACAGCGATACCGTCCCGTCTTACCTGACAGACATGAAAGTGACCACCTTTCCAAAGAGCCCCGCTGACTGTTCAAATACTCCAAAAAGTCTATTGAACAGACAGGTTATCAATAACTAGTGAGCTGTACTTATGCTTTTTCAGAGGCACATATTGTGCTATTTACATTATTATTATCATTGTTATTATTAAAAGATAACACAATAATTAATATATATATATATATATATATTTAATATTAATATTTTTAATATTAATATTACTATTTTTTGACTTTTTAAATTTTTTCAACTTTAACTTTATTGTCTTATTTTATACTAACCCATAGCATTAGCATTTCATTTTATTTTACTTGATTACGTGTACTGCTGTCTTGTTGTCTATTGTTACTGTCGCGCACCAACCGTCAAGTCAATTTCCTTGTAAGTATGACATATTTTGGCAATAAATGTTTCCTGATTCCTGAATTATGATTAATTGTGATACAAATCTTAGAAATGGAAAATCGTGAAAATCTCTGTTATAATGAGTTAGAATTTTCTGATAACACTTTTCCAAAAACTAGCTTTTCAAACAGCCCGCATTGGTCGTGACATTCAAAAGAAAGACGTCAGGGTCTAGTTAATTACATCAAACGTAAAGACCTGTAGTATCTTCTCTCTGGTTTCGGACAGAATCTGCTGCACTTCCTCCTCGTGGGCCTCCTTCAGAGTGGCGATGGCCGCTTCGTGTTCGTCGTTTTTCGTGTTCAGTGCGTAGATGACCTGCAATAGAGAGGCGAGAAACCCATTAGCTGTTAATATTCCTACTCAGGAGTTACATGGCAGTAAAACCTCTGGGAGACAAAGTGCGCCTCTCCCAGCTAGGGTGTAACCGGCACTGGCCGCGTTGAGACTGCTGTGTTTGAGACGTGTTGTTTAACGATGAAAGCCGAGAGTACAGATGAAACCGCAGAACAGCCCGGCATGGGGTGAAGAGGGACAAACACGAAGATGATTGGGAGGTTGATGTCGATGCTGACAGTCCAGGTTTTCTGTGAAGCATAGAACAACACAACCGTCATAACAAGTTGCACTATACACCTACAGGCTTCTTTGTTTAACGGTCGACCCACCGAAGGGATCGGAGGTCGGACGGGTCAAACCAACACAAGACTTGTGTATCCTGTGTGTGAAACCAAGGATGTGGTAATTGTTTCATTGTTGTTGCCCCATGGGTATTTCATGATACAGACCATAAAAAGCCACAAGTCACAGCAATCGCTTTTTACAATTATGTATATCAGATCAGCGTAGATGAGCTAATCAGCTGAGAAATGCAAATCACCGCTGCATGACAAGTAAAGGAGCTGTGGTATCCGGGCTAGCTGAAACCTGGATGTTCCCACAATCGGCTCGGCAGTTATAAATTAGGGATTAGGGAAATTAGGGTATGGCTGGGGATAAAAATGGGGATAAAAATAACACAAAAATAAAACAACTGTTGTGCGTGAGATTGACCTTTGAACCCGTCTTAAAAATACATGCGGCAATCCGAAGAGGGGAAATGGGACAGTTCAGTGATCCCCTGCTGAGGGGGAGCCAGCAAGAGAGAAGAGCCATAGATTTTACATTTCCCTAAGAGACAGAAACATGAGTGACTTTCCCCCACGCGTCTCTCTCCCTGCCGGGTATTTCTCCCAGCAGGGAGAGAGACGCGTGGGCAGAGTGAGCAGAGTGTTGCCCCCTTTGAAAAAGCCAGTCAACGATTGGACTGAGGGAATGCCTCTGGATGAGAACGAGGGAGAAGCTTTCTGTGAAACAATGACATGCGCTTTTTATGTCTTACCACGCCTCGCTGGTAGATGAAAGGGTTTAGTTTGACAGGGGCTTTTTTTTTGTTTTCTTTTAATTCCCATTTATTCATCAGACACCGTACATTTAGGAAGGACTCAGCCATGGCAGTTATTCACTATGTTTGGTTTTTACTCTCTCTTTTTAGCCTGAATCATGAATATGAAATGTAGTTTTTACATAATGTGTTTTTTTAATTATTTGTTTCAAGCCATATGTGTTTTGTATATATATATATATATATATATATAAATAAATATATATATATATATATATATATATATATATATATATATATATATATAGAGAGAGAGAGAGAGAGATAGAGATATTTGTATACATACACTGTATATATATTTTGAAATCCCTTACACATTTGCTTCCCTCCCTTAGGTCAACAATTTATTATCATCGTATATTGTCATTGTCAGTGTGCCGCAGCCTCGTTAGTTTAACGCTAACTTGAGCATGCTAACATGCTCGCAATGATAATTATACCACGCTTATGTTTTTAGTTTCTTTTAATGATTATGCAGATAAAATGTTCACCATGGACACCATGCTTGTTAACCAAAGTATTAGACTAATTAGAGAATTTAGACCTGATAATAAGGCTGTATGAAATGTTTAAGAATCAACACGGTTGATTTAAGGTTTTCCAAAAAGGGGTCAATATTTGGATTAAAATCCAATGACAGCTAATCACCAAAGTAATTGGAATTCATCCTCCTGGGAACCTGAATGTAAAATATCCTCTTAATCTAATAATAATCATCATTAAAAGCGTGGACAGACAGACCAGCCTTTCCTGCCGCTTCATGTTGGGAGATAAAGTGGAAGCCGTTTATTCATAGAGGCTAAAATCACACATTTGTTCCACTGACATTTGTTCCAAACGCGGATATCGTTCTAAAGCAGGACTACAGATATCAGACAATAGTCGGGTCAATCTAAACAATATTCTAATTAAACCCTATTATGAAATGAATGGGGATGACTAGTTTCAATGATCGAGAACAAAATCCTGAACACACAAGCCTGGAAACACAGTATATAATATGTTTAAAACTAAACCACCCTGGATTTGTAGGTAGTAAAATGCACAATATTTATTATTTAATAGGAACAGCAAAGTCAACTTTAAACAGCAAATGTTTACTTCCTTTTGGTGTGTGTTCTTGTGTGTGTGTGTGTGTGTGTGTGTATTCTTCCGAATGTGACCAACAGAGAGTGCGAGACGGGCCGAGAGCGACGCTCTTCTCATCTCCTTGGGTCGATCGAGGTCCCGTCCTTGGAGGAGTTGGTATAAATGACAGTGCTACCAGGCAGATCGATGAGGGGACAGCGATATGCCACGAATTTCATCTGTCAGCGTAAAGAAAGTCCCAGCTGACAAACCAACGGAGACTTTCACCAGGCACAAGTCCCTGCTAGCAGCTATGTGACATGTGACCATGCTGTCAAACAAAGGAAAAGCTGAAAGAATGTTCAATACTTTCTTTTTTTTTTTTACTTTGGCTCATTTTTATGGCTTAAAGTGTTTCTCTCTGTACTAAGCAACCCTGTAACCTTTATGAATACTGTATTTTCTGGAGATGTCAGTTTTCTTTTAGCTTTTTTGTTGTTTAGACTTTTTTCATAAGTGTCGAATTATGAATATTACGCATTGCACTGTTGACATTTTCTTGTGAAAATAAACCTCATAAGACAAGTGCAATGAACAGTTACTGTAATGTCAAAAAACGCCAATCTTTTGCTAATGTCAGACATAGATTATCTACATAGAAATAGGAATCAAAATGTGAAAAACAGACGGATTGAGTGAGCCTTTCTTATCTCACTGCAAACTTGTTTTCTTCTGTCAAGTTAGAAAAACTAATTCAACTTGTTTAAAAAAAGAAAAATGAGCAAAATGAGTGTCTGTACTGTATAAGTAAAGATGACTAGGAAGGAATGGGGCATTTACCTTCACTGGGATCAATTTTTAAAAATTGCTAAATACTTGATGTTCATTAGAAACAAGTTAAGATATACATACATACAGCCCCGGCAGATTCATTCACTTGTATAAAGGAAATTCTTGACATACCCCTGGACATGGCCAATATTTAGATGAAGATACGGCCCTATGTTTTTTCTTCATAATTTGTTTCTACCTGTCCAAAAAGATAATAAAAAGGGGGATTGATACTGTAAAACGATGTCTCTCTGAGGGGAAATTGTAAAACAACAACAATCAAGAGAGTCTATTCCTTTTTCAGCTCTGCTACAGAACAGAAATGCCTTTGACACAATCTAAGGTCACCTCATGAGAACTGTCGGGTGAAACAATGGCCGTTGCCAATGTAAATGAGTTCAATGTTCTTAATTTGAAACACATAATAAAATCATCTTAGACCCAAAGATCTAAATCAAATCTACATTAAAACTAATACAAAGGTGCCTCACAATATTGCTTGGTGCTTGTCAAACTCTCAACGGCCAAATGGTGCATAAATGATTTGAGCAAAATTTAAGGGAGGAATCTCAAACAACAGATAAAGTTTGATCAATAATAAGAGGCCCTGATAGGCTCGCGTGCCATCCTTTTCATTTATTTTCGGTTTGTTGATATGGATGGTAGTCTTCATTCTATTCATCATCATTTATTTCCTTCATTTGTTTTTGCTTATCGTGCACTTGTTGTTTTTTCTATTTAGTTTTGTTTAGTAAAATGAATATTGCATTTAAAAATAACTCACCATTCAATTTGTGTGTATTTAAGATAATATGTCTCTTTAAAACAGAAGAACTCGGTAGCAACCTAAACTACTCTTAAACTAAATCCTATTTTCCATTCTGTTACTTAAATTAATGGTGTCCTTTAGTGTATAATGAGTACCATCACTGATATGTACTATATATAATGGTTCATATCTTCATATTAATTAATTATTATTCATTAAATCTGCTACGAGCAACAACGCCACCATTTGGTTTCAAATAACTGCCCTAACGAACAAAAATCTCATCTTAGTCAAAGGGAAATGTGGAATAGTTGGTTTGCAGTCAGATTGAATTCCAATGCCACTACAAAATGCAACTTTTGCATAATTTCTAAAGTAATTGACTTCCGATAGCCAACTGATCTTAATTCCTTGAGAAACAATCAGCGACATGGGATGAAAGCGAACCAAATGATTTCATGAGTCGGTAATATGAACACCAACAGAGAGAGTACACAGTACAGATCCAATCATCTTTGCTAAAAGTCCCCTAAATTAAGCGTGGTTTCTTACAAACACAATGTGCTGCCTATGTCTTTGAACAGGTGGGATGAAAGCTACCAAAATTAGGTTAATTTACAAAAATAAAGGCTATACTTTGCAACAAAGGACGGAGGTGTAGTTTCTACAAACCAGCATCATCGGATTTCCAGATGATCAAAAGAGAGAAATAAGACATACTGGTGCTTTGAGGTTGTTCAGCCATGTTCCTATGGAGGATCTAATGACTCCTAACAAACTCTGACGGGCAGCAATCTCCTTTAGTTTCACTCTCATCGGCCTGACCGCACACACACACACACACACGCGAGACCTCCCTTTTCTCTCTGCTAGTCACTCCGTCCACTGATGGGACTTTGATGATAATGTCGATGTGTAACGACGACCATTTTGCCACCTTAACACTAGCTGGTAGTCATTTTCCACCCTGTGGCGGTGGGGCTTTGTCTTGTGAGTGCAGTGGGAGTGATGAAGCGTGTACTGACTGGATAAGAATACTGGCTTCCACTAGATGTGTAACAAAGACATCTTGGGGAAAGATGTTACATTAGAAGATCGAATCCACTCTAGTTAGCTTTCAGTAGCTTAGCATAAGGGTTAGAAACCAGGGAAAACACCTTGCTGTGTCTACTGATCCCAGCCAAGAAATAGTCTAGATCAGCGGTT